CCCCACCAGGACTGGGATACAGTGTGTGTGTGTGTGTGTGTGTGTGTGTGATTCCTGATGAAATCAAGGTCAGCATGTAATACACAATGGGCACGGGTCTTTAGCCATGTTCATGTCAGAGCCCCAAAATGGATTACAAAGCCATTGGCACAAACCTAACGGATTCCCACATGCATTGGGGACGATTCTGCTACTGTTGGCTTCGAGAAGAGGCAGGGTGCTGACTCCCAAGACACAGCGACTTGCTCCTCTGTCCCGACCCTCGGCTCCCCCACCCTTTACTCCAGGAGTGGCAGTCTCCACTTGGGAAGGTCAGTGAGGCCAGCCAAGCATGGGGGAGCAATAGTTCTACTGCTCCAGTGGCCAGAAGAAACCTGACCTGGGTGCCCTCATAGTCCGCAGTGCAGCTGAGAGGGGGAGCCTGGCCCTGTCCCCCACTGAGCAGAGCCTCCAGCCTGGCAACTCCACATCCCCCCACCCCCACCAACACCCCAAACTCAAAACTCCTCCTCAGCTCCCACAGGCTCCCGGTCACCCCCTTTCCCAAGGTGTTCTGTCTGTTCTCCTCAGAGACATCAGACATCTCTGAACACACCTGGCCTGTGTGTGTGTGGGGGCGGGGGGGGGCAGGCAAATCTCTGTCCCTGTCAGCCTTCCACTGACCACCAGGGCAGGTACCTCCAGAGTTTTGAAGAGTGTGCTCTGAATTCAGTTTCCTGAACCCTAAGACTCCTTCCAGTACCTCAGAGATGCCGCAAGTGCATCAGTCCAGACAGGCAGGGCCTGTGTGCACAGAGGGCAGCTGTGGGGCTGTGCTGCCCGGCCCCGGACGGACCTCAGGCTGCAGAAGTGTGGCACCTCCTCACCCCGCGCAGTTCTGTCCAGGCAGCCAGTACCTCACCATCTCCAGCCATCCTGTCAGTCAGTCCAAGGCAGAGGGTGTTAGAGGAGAGGAAGCCAGAGCCCAAGTAGCCAGCACAAAGCAGTCCCTCCTGCCTCCTGCTTCCTGCCTCCTGCCTCCTGCCTCCTGCCTCCTGCCTCCTGCCTCCTGCCTCCTGCCTACCTGCCTGCGCTCCAACCCACCGGCCCCAGTCCTCGCCCCATCCATCCTGGTGGGGGAAGAGGCACAGGACAACAGCTCGCTCCAGGGAGCCAGCTCCTGCTTGTCGGTGAGTCCCCTGCCTGGGCCCAGGAGGACACCCTAAGCCAGCGCAGGCCCTTGTTGGGTGACATTCAGCCAGGTCTGGGAAACACCAAGCCTCCCATCCTCCTTTCTTTCTAGCTCTTTTCTTTTCCTTTTTCCTTCTTGGTGCATGGACTTCTTTGCCACCCTCCTTTCAAAAATATGTCCGTGATTTTGCATTTAGACAAATGCAATTACCTTTGTTCAAAAGCAATTAAGTTCCAGTCTTCACCACGGAGATAACAAGCCCATCCTTGGCACCTTTTTCTTTTTAACAAGCAAAGCCCACTCTGCGGAGGCGGGAATCACTGTGGAGATGTCTGAAACACAGTCTGTGAATTTTACTGTTTTATTATTATTTAAATATTCCACCCATGTAAGTATAGTCACACCTAAAACTTGTGAACTGGCTGGACTTTGCTGCTTCTTCACCATGAAAAGGCATCATTTTGTCTGCATTTTTGTTTTTCCCCAATGTGTTAAAGAATAATCGTCTTGTCCTGGAGCCACACCTTCCTGATTTCATATAAAACAGTTTCAGTGGTTCTAGACAAACACACTTAGAGCAGGGAGCCCCCAGCTGCAGATTCTTGTCTCTGGACAAGGCTCAGAGGAGGGCCTTCTGCCCGAGCAGGTTCCAAGAGGCAGGATGAAGGCTGGTGGGGGCGATCATGGTACCTGGACGGTGGCCCAGAAGGGATGGCTAGTTCAGATTATTTCAGAAAGTGGCACTGTCCTTCTGGCCTGCACTTCTGTGGCAAGGCCCAAGGCAACTCTCTGTCTGTGCTCACTGTGGCTGTCCCCCATCAGGCTGCCTCTGGGGTGGAGGCAGGCCCAGTCCCCAGGACCCAGCCCTTGCTAGCCAGCGTCCCACGGATGCCCATTAAGGAGAGCCCTGAGCCCTAGGTGAAAAGGAAGCCCTTGACACTGTCTGGCAACATCTGTTCCTGTCTATAGTCATCCAAGTTGAGGCTAAGGACTTTCCACTCTGGACATTTGGCAGTAGGTTAAGGGGTCCAGCCCACCCTCTGGACCTTCACTCTCCTGCCTAACCAGGACACTCCGGGCAGCGTTTGTGCAAAGGGGAAATGCATGTTGGGAAAGGGCTGAGGCATCCTGTGATGGGTACGATGGCACTCGCTATATCCACAGTCTCGATGTTTCTTGGCGTGTAGATGGGACTTCAAGGGACCCCAGATTGAGAGCATCTGAAAGGGGATGTTGTGTCTTTCTCTTTTGCTGGTGGAAGGACCCTGAATGAACAGGAATGGAGAGAGAGCCTTGTCTAGCCGGGGTACTCTCTGCCTTCTGCTCAAGACAGGCACTTGATGGCAGGTGAGGAGTCCGCTCACCTCTGGATGTTCACTCTCCCCTAACCTATGCTTCATTTCTGGGGAAACCTGATTGGCCACCCTCTCCCCATTCCTTGGCACTGTGGCACCACTGCAGATCGCGGGGGGCTACCCGGGAGCCGTCCTTTCCCCTGTGCTCACAGCTCAGTGAGCTACTGGAGGGCAGAGATGGGACAGTATTCAGCTTTGCACCTCCAGGCCCTAGCAGGCTGCCTGACCCCAGCCATTGCCCAGCGAAGAGTACGGAAAACGCATTGAGTAGAATTTAAAAAAAAAAAATGGTTTCTATTCAAATGGATAGCTGGGAAACTTTGAGGCAAATAAAAATAAAGTCTGCTTTGGAAGGAGTATACTATTTTGATCTTCTATTCTGGAGATCACATATGCTTTATGCCCCTCACACATCGTTTGGCACCCAACAGATACTGTTTAAATACAAATCCTTAAACTTCAGCATGGATTTAATTCCTATTTCAAACACTATTTCTGAACAGTTTTATGCCTGTGCTTACCAGGTGGCTTGCACAAGCCCTACGAGAGTGGATGGTGGGGGATAACAGGCACGGAGTCATTGGTCTTGGACTCTAAGTGGGCCTATAAAGGGACTCCAGATAGTGGGGCAGGTTTTGAAGTCTGCAGAGTTTATCGCCCTCTGCTGGTCATACCGGGAAACTCGCCTGCTGCTCTGTTGAGTTTCTGCAGACCTGGATGTCAGAGAGGAGTGAAATGATCTTCCTCATTCTCAAGAATGTCCGCCCTCCTTAGGCGAGCATCAGGAGAGGAGTGTTATCAAGTTAATGCATGAGATGGGGGAAATGTTTCTACTAGGAATCCTGCATCTCTGGAGTTGTATTAAGCCAGTTAATACTTCCCAATCGATTACTCGGTAATTTGCTCAAGTATATTACAAGTATCATGGCAGCGTGCAGTGACAGATTTTAAAAGAGATGTGCAGCACTGCCTGTCATGGGAGGCCCAGGGCAGCCTGGGTGGTCTCGAGGGCTGTCATCTCCAGCCCTGGGTTCAAACCATGGTCCTCTCCCGACTCTGGGCCACCCCCTTCCCCTCTCAGAGCCTCCATTCTTTAGGCCTGGAGGTCTACTGAGCTGACAGTACCCATGTGAGGGGCCTAGCACGTGTAGGCACTGGCTTAGGGGACAAGAGCCATTTGTGTGTATGTGGCTCACTTTGTAAACCTAAACTGTGTGCTTTGGAAATCAAAGAGGAGAGATGGGCAAGTGCTGATTGTCACTGTCCTAGTGGCCTGCGTCAACTGGTACAATATGCGCCATCGTGGCTTCATCTTAGTGGTGGTGATGGCTGAGACGTGATTCGGTTTCCACGCTTGTTCCCGCATCTTCCCTAATAACACTACTGTTCACTGTGCCAACGGCCTGAGTGTTTCTTGGCCTCGGTTCTGAGACCAGCTCCATTTGCATCCCCCAGGGAGGCCTCGGATAGGAAGGTGCCGATAGTGGGCTAACTGGATGGGGCTCAGTGGACAGGACCCCTCCCCTCAACCCTCGTTTACCTTGTAAGCACCAAGGCCCACTGGGCAGCTTCTGCCGCCCACCACCTGCCAGTGAGTCCTCCTGTGAGGGCGCCTCCAGCTCATCACAGGTGCTGCCAGCTCCACTGATCCTCTCAGGTGACTGGGCAAAACGGAGCCCCAGCGGGGATCTGAGGTGACTGCACCTGTGTGTCCCTAGTGTGTAAGGGCCTTTCCTTGTGTGGGGGCCCTTTGCGGTTGGGTCTGCCCCATGCGCCCACCTGGACACGCAGTGAACACTCGGCTCCCTTAGCGAGGTGCCCCCTCGACACCCAGCAAACCCCTGGCTTCCTTCACCAGCTCTGTCGAGCAGGAGCTTGCCCCTGCTTCACCTGAGGGTGAGCACATCAGACGCAAGGGCCAGTGGGAGCTGCCAGGGCTGGACCAGGGGTGCTGACACAGCCAAGAACAGGGAAGACCCTCGAAGCCAGCCTGTGAGCTGCCTTCCAAGCCCAGGGCCTCTGAGCTGGGCCTTGACGGGAGTCAGACCCCCCAGGCAGCGTGGGGGGTACCAAGAAGCGGAGGGAAAGCACCTGCCTTGCTGGGTGCCATGAGGTGGGAGTGGCAGGGAGGGCCGCCAGCAAGAGTGGGGGGCCAGAAGGCCAAGGACCCAGGATGCCAGGTGGGCTGTCCAGATGTGGGTCCTGGCAAGAGGTGTTGGCATGGGCAGGCATCTGGGTTCCAGTGTCCCCCGGCCCTTACCAGCCATCAGCAAAACTGGACCCCTGAGCCTTGGGTGGCTCCTCCGACTGAACCCGGTCAACATGATGACATCACCATGGAGGGGTGGGGAGAAGATAAAATGAAAGCAGCAGGCAGAGTTCTTGGCTCAGGGTAAACCTCAAATGGGGCTCGTCCCCATCCCGGCCATGAGACATTGCAGGCGAGCCCTCTGAGCCTGTCCCTGTCCTTGCAGGTTCACCATGGAGCCCTTCTGTCCACTCCTGCTGGCAGGTTTTAGCTTGCCGCTCACCAGAGCGCTCAAGAGCAACGAGACCACCACAGCGGAGAGCAACTGGACCAGCACCACTGCAGGTGAGGAGCCCCTGCTCTTAGCTGGCCTGCCAAGGCCCCCACTGCCACCCCGGGCACCTGGGAATGACAGGTGGTCCAGGGTGGTAAGGGCTGGTGAGAGGCGAGAAGGGCGTGGCTGGCTTTCTTAGTGTGCTCCCGACAAACAGGCAGCTGGGTGAGCTGCTGTTCAGCATTTGACTGAAGCCAGCTTAGCCCAGGTGCTGGTCCGCAGCCCCCGATGAAGGCTGGTGGCCGCCGTGGTGGGAGGCAGGAGAGCAGAAGGGTTAAAATTTCCTTGGTGCAGCCAGGTGTAGTGGTGCACACCTGTGATCCAGCAGCTGGGGGGGGGGCGGGGTGCTGAGGCAGGAGGATTGCAAGTTCAGAGGCAGCTTTAGCAACTTAGCAAGGCCCTAAGCCACTCAGTTAGACCTTGTCTCAAAAAAAGTAAAAAGGGCTGGGATGGGGCTCAGTGGTTAAGCACCCCTGGGTTCAATCCCTGGTACCAAAAAAAAAAAAAATCAATGGTGCTGCCCCACTCACACAGGGTGGAGTATTATTTTCTATTCTCCCACATTCTTTATAGTTTAAAAGTTAAACAAAGAGAAAGAAAAAGAGTACGTGTAATAGCATGGAGGAACCTTTAGAAACAAGCCCAAGCAACCCCAAAGACCACGCTGTATGATTCCATGGTATGGAGTGTCCAGGTGGGAGGAAATGTCCACCCGGGGCTTGGGTGGGAGTGGGGAGTGACCCAGAGGCAGGCGAGGTCTTATGGGGAGCATGGGCATGAGCTAACTGGATTGGGCGAGAGGTACACAACTCCGTCGTGATCCAACAAACATCACGGACTCAGACACTTAAAGGGGGTGTGCTGTATGGCATCTAAGTGTTACTCCATGAAACAAACAAATGCCCTGCAAAGTTAACGGGAGGCAGAGGAAGAGAGGAAGCCGGGAGGGAGGTGAGCAAACCCTCTCCAGTCACACTGCCTGGCTCTGAACTCCACCTCTGTCGGTGTTGGCTGGGTGTCCTTGGGTAAATCACAGAGCCCCTCTGTGCCTCAGTACCCCACTTGGGAGGTGGAGATGACAGCAGTGCCTGCTATTGAGGGTGCAGTGAGTATTAGAGATCAGTGCTCTGGAACATTCCCTGGACCACAGAGGGCTCATCCACACTGGCCTTTGTGATCAGCAGGGAGCATGGGGCAGGGTCATCTGGCCCGCCTCATTGCCTGCAGTGGAACCTTGATTCTTCAATCCCCTCCCTAGCTGACACAGGAGACCTAGGCCAGACTGGGTGAGTTCAGTTCCCCAAGGGGCTGACACAGTTCCCTGGGCAGCCTCCGTGGGCCCCGGGTAGACTTCTAGGCCCCTGTGGCTGCAGAGCCCCTGGTGGTGACCATCAAGGCTGGACCCTCTCACACACCTCCTGGGCCTTCCCGCTCCATCCCCAACATGAGTGACTTCCCTGACGGTGTCTCTTACTCTGTCAGGGCTCCCCCCGAAAGCAGAACCTTAGGACACGTACAGACAGAAATATAGAACTACACACTTGCTATAAGGAACTGAAAATTGTATATTTATAACTTCTATGTGTTGTAAGAAGATATGCATTGCTCATCATAAGACAGGCTCACAGTCACCGAGGCAGCCAGTCCAAGGTCTGCACAGCACAGCCCCAGAGGACTGGTACAAGGCCAGGAAGGGCTGGAGGCACAAGGGTGTCGCAGGAGTCCTCTCCCCAGGAGGCTCAGCCTCTGTGTCCAGCCAGACCACCCCCGGGTTGGACAGGGCCATCTGCTGCATTCGGTCTGCAGGTTCAAATGTCAGTCTAAATGCCTGGTAACCAGGGCCCAGCAAGTTGACGCATAAAATGAAGCATCATGCTTGGCCCTTGCAAGGTTTAAGGAAAACCAAAATTATCAGCAGCCCTCCATAAATATAAGCCTGTTAGAAAAGCAGTTAGCAGTCAGTAGCATGAGGTGGGCCAGGGGCTCAAGTCCCCAGTCAAGGGCTTTAACTGATGACCAGACCTGAACTAATGTCCTCTGGACACAAGAGGGAAAAGGTGGGGATCTGCAGCTGATGCCAGCCACTGACTGGGAGAGCAACTCCAAGTGCTCCCGTCTTCTCCCTTCCTAGAGAAACCCACCCCCGCCCACCCCCACACACACCCGGGAGCTGCCAGCTCATGTAAGCTGCATGTAACATACTGGCCTCTTAGCCAGCCAGCTCTCCAGGTGCATGTCATTAGCAAGGTCCCATAGCCTGGGAGGTCCCAGACCCACCCAAGGACAGTGAGCCCCTCTACCAGACAGAGCAGCTAGCCCCCCTGGCCATGCCCAACACCTACAGGACGTTCAGCGAAACATCTCAGCCTGCAGACCTAGCTTTTCTTGCCAACACTAATCACCTGGCTTCTTAGGAACACCTGGCAAATGGCCAGGACACACCTGCACACATCTGGGAAGCATACAGACACAGCATCCTTCTGTCTCCCCAGAGTAGGGCAGAATCTGCTCAGCCCTGTGACACCCCTGAGGTCTCCAGCAAGATGATACCACGTTCCTTGCTTGGGGCTTCTCAGTCATTTGAAAAATAAATAAATGTATTGGCTTATGGTATTGCCATGGCCGGGGCTGTTGCTTTGAGGAAGAGGGGGCTGCCACATGGCCTTGGCACCAGAACAGAACCTAGTGTGAAACTCACGCCTGGGTGCAGCCTCTTCCGGGACCTCTCTGCGTAGCAGTGGCCACTGGTCATGCAAGCAAGAGTGACACAGGGCTCTGGTTACAAGCTGCAGAGTGCTCCTCTGGCTGAGCCCTCTGCAGGGGCCCCCAACTGTGTGGGAGAGTCTTTAAACCCAATATGACTCCCCCCGAAGAAGTATGAAGCATCATTTTAGATGTTCACATGTTGCCACAATGTGCCAAAACAACAGGAAATGGTTTTGTTTACTCATTGAACAAAATGAAATCAGTATTCATCATGACACATTTTTTTACACAAGGAATTGAAGGTAAATATGTACAGATCACATAAGAAAATATCACAGGACGACTCCCCCAAGATGAGCAAGTAGGAAACCAGTAAAGGATATGACCAGGCAAAACGCAAGGATCTAATTAACAATGTTTCACTCGTCATGAAACGATGATCAACTCCAAAGAAATTAGAGAAGTGAAAATTAAAATGACATTATGATTGTGCCTATCAGATTAACAAAATGAGAAGCATTGTTAATCTCCAGGAGAAACTGGCTTCATCAGGGATACTTTGGGGAGGGCAATTTGGTAATTTCTAATAAAATTTAACATGTATGCAGTGGACACAGAAGGTCCAGTTTTAGGAGTTACCTGCAGAAACACTGGTGAGATACACAAAGTCACACCCACACAAGGTGCAGAATTGCAAGGAAATACAAAGAAGTTGGAAACGACTTCTTGGAAAGAGTCCATGCACTCTTGACCCATCTGAATCGTGGAAACCGAGCATCCCTTGCACAGAGCACGGGAGCCCCACCGTGCTGCCGTGGAAACTCCCCAAGACTGATGGGAAAGGCGAGCGCCGACCTGCCCCACAGTGCTTCATCTGTTCTCTCATATGTATCATTGCTATATCGGGATGTGTCTTAAAATGGGTAGCTCTTTACAATTATAATTAGTAACTCCTTTTTCTTCCTTAGTGGTTCATAGAATAACAGCACTTCTTACAATTCATGCGGTTTGGGATGAAATGAGAGTAGTAAGTCCATTACTTACCAAACCTGCATATTTATGAATGTAACTGCATAGGAGAAAATTCTGGGAAAGCCACACTCCACAGTCCTAACTATGATTAACGAAGGGAAAGAGAAAGTGTTGGCTCACGCACACTTATTCTCTATTTTTGTGCTAGTGGGAACATTTTCAACAGACCTCTATCCTGTTTTCGCTTGTAGATAGTAGAAACAGCACTGTGTGCCAGGCAGAGGTGAAGGAAGAGATGTGGGGACACTGGGCACTCTGTCCTCGACGCTGGGTCACCTTGGCTCAGTCCCAGAGCACAGCTGCTCCCTCTGTGTCCCCACCCTCTTTCCTTCCTCTCCTCCCCCTTTACCCCAATCCTTCCTTCTCCCACAGACCCCTGGAGATGAAGCATGGGGCAGTGGAGAGCTATGGCCCACTACTGCCTCCCGCAGAGCTCCCTGGGCTGGGGAGGCTGGGGGCTTTTACATCTGGGGAGTGCCCCCCTCTGACACAGCAGGAGGTTCACTCCTGGATAGGTGCATAGGGAGTGGTTCAGGGTCCCACCTCGCCCTCCGGGTGGTGCTTTCCTATCTTTCCAGGTTCTTTGTAAGCAAACAAGCACGTACCCCCGCTGCGCGCACTCTCTCAACTTGCTGGTGTGCATGTGCACGCAGGGAACTGGTGTGACTATACACACACACCGGCTTTGTGAGTCTGCCATCAGCCCTGGGAGCAGGCTGCTCCCTGCTCAGCACCCGGGAGGCTTGCTCTTCTCCTCCCCAGCTGGACCCTCTGCCACCCAGCAGGAGCCAAGTCAGCAGGGGTCAGAACAGAACTCCAGAACTTTCTCTGGGCGCCTCTGTGCCCGTAGCACAGCCAGTGCTCAAGGGACACCACCCAGTGTGCAGAGGGTTTTCTCTTCTGGTCCATGCTGTTGTTCAAAATAATATTTGAATTCAATTTAATCACTCACCGATATTTAAAAATCAGAACATTTTTACATAAAGCTATGGATTTATTCTTAGGATGATGGAGATTAAGTGGTCTGGGCCCACCTTCCTATTGACCCCAAAATGCCAACTTTGGACGCTCCCTTCTGACCTCAGGAGGCCTTGGGGTCTGTGATCTTGATCTCCACCCTCCACAGCAGAGGCAGCTGCTGACGAATAACAGAAACCAGGGTGGGGACCCATTGGCCCTCTGACCTGTCACTTCTGCCCCTGTTCAGCCCATCTCTGTGGAATCCCCGTGTCTGTCACTGCAGCCTGTACTCCAGGAGGCTGGACCTCAAGTCCCCAGACAAGGCACAGGGTGACCTGGCATGCCCCCAGGGCTCCCTTCCTCTGACCCAGCAGACCCTACAGCCAGTTTAGTCACCACCTTGGAGAAGTGGGGCCAGGTCCTGACCTCTGCGTGATGCGGAAGTTGGGGGTTTCACCATAGTGATGCCCCAGGAGAGGAGAGCATGTGCCCCCGGGAGCAAGGAGGGGACCTACCACCCTCCTAACTGTCTGGCTGCCTTGGGCCAGAAGGAAAAGGTGGAAAGGCTCTCGGAAATACCTGGAGCCCCAGGCCCTCCATGGAGCAGCCTCAGCTCTGACCCTCTGTGGCAGGAGGCTCCCTCAGCCTGGACTGGGGGCTGCTTCAAGGCTTGGCAGGGATGCTGGTGCTCTCTGAGCTGCAGGTGACAGCCTCGGGCCAGGCTGCTGAGAGGGAAGCTCTGTGGTGGGAGGCGGGATAGTTTGGGTTGGAAGGGAGGGAGCAGGACGGTCATTCCCCAGCACCCAGCCTGGGAAAACCTGACCAGGAGAAGCCTCTGGCAGGTTGTGGCCTGCAGAACACGTGCAGAAGTCCAGCTGGTTCCTTGCCCTCGTGGATGTGCCTTCTCGCTCCTAGCAGAGTGTGTCCCATGCCTCTGGCCACACAGAGTCCCTCTAAATCCAAAGGAGAGGAGCTAAGAGGGCTTCCTGGAGGAGGGGGCCTCTCAGGTTGTCCTTGGACTGGGACCTTTGATGGAAAACTGGGGAGTGGGGGACAATAAAGCCACCAATGCCCATCAGAATTCAGGCACACAAGGCAGGAGCAAGTGCTAGCAGCCACTAGGTCATGGAGCTGGGTGCAGGGGTGTATGCCTGTCTCTGGTTGAGGACAGTCAGTGTCGCAGGTGTGAAACATGGACAATGAGGGAAGGGAGGTGCCTGGTGGCCAGTCTTCCACATGGTCCTGACATGTCCTTGAGAAATAGGATGCTGGCAGCTCTGGACGGTGGGTCCTGGTGTGCCTGTCCAGTGAGGTCTGCACCCAGCCCCAGGGCCAGGCTACTTGCCTGTGCCCGGGGCCCCTGCCCCAGCCAAGAGGCCTGGACACCGAGCAACAAGGCAGGCTCCAAGGTGTCCTGGCATCCAGCAGCAGCAGCTACCCCCTGCCGTCCCCAGCTCCTCGTCCCTGGGCAGGCACACTGGAGACTCAGAGAAACAGGCGGCTCGGCCAGCGTGAGCCATGTGGGCCCGTGAACTCTCCCTCAAACCTTCCCCAGGGGCCTGGACAAGGGGCATCACCCACTCCTCAGGCCTGGTTCCCTAGTGTCCACCGCAGCACTCAAGTCCCTTGTTCGTTACATTGCCACTTCTCTGTGGACTCCACGGGCAGAGAGTGGAACCGGCCTGCAGACGACCAGTGCCGTCCTGGTGTCGGAGGGTGGCGAGGGGGACACTTTGCCGACTGTCATGGGCAGCGTGCATCCTTCCTTGTGTGGCCTGGGGTCCTGACAGCGCTCTCCTCCCGCCACTCCCAGGCCCTCCAGACCCTGGCACCTCCCAGTCGCTGCTCACCTGGCTGCTGCTGCCCCTGCTGCTGTTCCTCCTCTTGCTCCTCCTCACCGCCTACTTCTTCAGGTAGGAGTGTCCCCGGGCGCTGACTTGCCCCGACCAGCTCAGATGAGGAAATGAGCCTTCTTGAGGCTGCGGGGTGTGGGCCCCGGCCACTGAGATGTGCAGCGGGCCTGGCCCCAGCAGGCTCAGCCATGAGCAGCAGGAAGAGCTTTTCCCGGCTCACCTGGTGGGTATCCCTGTGCCCAGGGCCCCGGGCTCCCTGGCCAGCCTAGGCGCACTGAGGACTGACACATCTTGTGCCTCCCAGGTTCAGAAAGCAGAGGAAAGCCGTGGTCAGCAGCAGTGACAAGAAGATGCCCAACGGGATCCTGGAGGAGCAAGGTACGGGTGCTGGCTCCCCTACGGGGTCTCTAGCAGGCCTGGGGGTCCCTCTCTTTGTGTTTATCTTTTCCTTTACACAATGAAAGTTGGTCTTAAGTCCCTCCAGCTTTGAGACTCTCGTCCCCTACCTGGTGCTGTGCTGTCCTTTTCTGCCTTACTAACGACTGCGGAACGTCTCTGTTTCTAGACTGTATTGAAGTCGCCTTTCCTCCCGTGTGGAACAGATGTCTGAGGTGTTCAGTTTGTGGCTTTTCTGGAGAAACTGCTCACATCCTGTCCTTTGCACAGGGTTTGGGCACTTTACGTTTTTCAATAAGGCCTTTCACATCACTCTGATAAGAGTCTCTGGCTTACAATCTAAAGTGCTCAAACTGAAAATCTCACTGTCTTAGGATCTGGCTGAAGAGAAGGAAATCGCTCCCTTAAAGCGGCTTCAGCTCGGTGGAAGGTCAGAGGCTGTTGGGACACTCCCAACCTTTAGATTCAAAGTTCAGTTTCTAACTGGTAAATGCTACTTACCGAGGCTTTTATTTATTTATTTTTTCTTTCAACACATTGAGTTGACTGAGAAAGATAAAGCAGAGGCTTTACAAAATACTGGTGCACAGCAGTGACTACGACTTCCTGTCCTCCGCTTCCTACCAACTGTGCTGGGGCTTGAGGAAACACACACACAAAGCAGAGATAAGAGTATCAGCAACAGAAGACCTGGCCAGACAGGGCTTTGGAGGGCCTTCCGGCCCCCCTGACACTTGGTAGATGAGAATTTGGTCCCCAGCGCCATCCTCCCACCCTGGATCCCACCCCGCACATTCCAACAGGCTCGGGAGGAAGAGGGTGTGGCTGGTGAGGGGCAGAGAAGCCCAGGGGCACACATGGGAACCTGTTTGTCTCTTGGGGAAGGGACCCTGTGGGGAGATTCAAGGTGACCTCAGAAGACTCTGCCGGTGGGACAGGCCTTTTGCAAGGGTGGCGGTCCAGTTTTCCCATGAACCTTGTCCATATCAGCTCATCCCAGGAGGAGAAGTGCAGGCCCCTGACTTCTTGTATCTCACTCTGAGCTTAGGGAAGCGTCCTGCGCCATACCCCTTGCAGCTCGCCCTTTTCCTTTGCAGTGCCACACTGCCCTCCCCCTTAGACAAGGACAGCTTCTCTTATTTGGAGCTTATGGATCTGGGGGAGTAGGCCTATTTGTTACAAAGAGGAGGAAGCCAAAAGGCGTGCATACCCTAGTGGATTTCCAGTCCCCTCGAGCTTGCTACGGACCCCATAATTGCTCTTATCTAGTTCCAAACCTGGAAACCCAAGCTGCAGCATGAAGCTGCTCTGGCCATCTGGGGAGGAGCAGGGCTGGAGGGAAGGACAGGCCATGGGCGGCTGGGGAGTGAGTGGGGTGAGTGGGTGGGAGACACACTGTCCATGATGTCCATGGACAGCAAGATCAGGGATGCTGCCATCGCTAGCAGAGGACTCATATCAGGAGGCAGATGTTTGATTCAGCTGCTCAGGGACCTGGTGAGCCACGGGCTGCATGATTTGGGGGTCTGTTCCCCTCCAGCTGTGCACTTCTTTGGGAATGTTGTCATTGGATCTGGCCAATGAGTCGGCCCTGGGAATGGGGCTAAGTGGCCCCTGTTCCTTCTGACCCACAGAACAGCAGAGAGTGATGCTACTGAGCAGGTCCCCCTCGGGGCCCAAGAAGTACTTTCCCATCCCCCTGGAGCACCTAGAGGAGGAGATCCGCCTGCGCTCAGCAGACGACTTCAAGCGGTTCCGGGAGGAGTTCACGGTGAGTGTGGAGGTCCCTGCTGCTGTCAGGTGGTGGGGAGTGCCCAGGGCCCATCCCCCGAGGACTAGTGACCTGGCAGGGTCAGTCAGAACACAGTCCTGGGGCAGAGGGTCTGGGAACCTGGTCCCTGGGGCAGCTCCCCTCCTTGGCACTCATTGCCCATTATAAGGTGCTATGGTTGGGTCTGAGGCTCAGGAAGCCGTGTTCTGAAATGGGTGAGACAAAAACACCATTATTTCCACACTGTGGCAAACCAGGGCCTGAGCCCACACAGGACAGTGGTTTCACGCTGAAAGCCAGGGAGCGCCCAGCCATCCCATCACAGTTTCTGATTGGAGTGGAGAATGTCCCTCTTCTGAGTCCCCACCCAGCACTGACCAAGCCGTCCCAGAGACTGCCTTTAGGAGATACTAGCTCAGCCTGTTGATGGCTGTGCTGCATGTGGGGTGCAGAGAGTCCTGCGGTTTTCACCTGCTCCTGCTGTTTGGGATGAACAGTCTCCACAAACGCAGTGAGGCCATGGCTCGCCAGGACCATGGGTTAACCAACTGGAACAGTCCCCAAGGTGGCAAACTAATTAACTCTCCACCAGAAAACACAAACGCAGACTTAACGATGCCTTCCCAAGTGTCGTTAATTTTTACAATTTAATGTGCTGTGAGTTTTGAATTTGCTGCACATATCCAGATAGTCAGACAGACAGGCGCAGACGCACACTCAGGCAGTGCTGCCTTGGACATGGCCCCTCACTGTCCTACATGCGCTTTGAGTTCTGCCGTGAGCATCCTCAGCTTCATGTGCATGGCTGTATGCTGAGGGCTGAGCCTGAAAGGGTCAGTGCTGAGCCAGCAGGACTGCTGCCCGCCTCTGGCCCAGCCATTGCACCCTGGCCTTGGCACATCCTTCACCTCCGCCAAGCCAGCTTCCACCATCTATGAAGGGGGCACAGGGATGGATCCTGCCTAGGCGACCTCCAGCTCAAATGTCGGGCTGGGACGATGGGCTTCATGAACAGCCCCATGTGGCCCAGTTGTTGTATCCAGAGCTGGCGCGCACACTGCTGCAGACCAGTGACTTTTTATACAGAAAGGTGATGGCGAATTTGAACTGTACTTTACTAATTTTTTGGCACAAACCTCCTCTGCCTTTATCTTGCTTCCTTTTTATTATTTCCAAATGTACCCTTCCCCCTTTGTCTTTTTTTTTTCCTCTGAGAAATTAGGTCATATTGAAAGACAGCTCCAAGCACTATTGTTTTGCAATCTCTCAGCTTGACAAGAGAAGTTAATTCTCCATTTTCAAAATAACTCTCCATGTTTGCAGCTAGACTCTCTCCTCCCCCTCTCTTGTCCCATTTCTTCTTCCACTTTGGTTTCTCCTTGTGCAGGAGGCTGGTGGCTGGCTCCCTGGTGGAGGGCCGTGAGTCAGAACCAGTAGCTCTGGCACCATCTCAAAAGTGAGGGCCACGCCTGGAGGGGGCCAGGGTGGGGCCAGAGAGGCTCTTGCCCTGAGTGCGAAGTCTAAGAACACACCTAAAATCTCAATAGTCAGGCTAAGTCATGTTTTGATGCATCACTTAAAATTACTGAAATTAATACAAGAGATCTATGATGAACAGAACAGCACAATTATTGACAAGGAGAGGACCAGTGGGGACAGATCTTTTCTCACTGTCCCAGACTCCAGTAACTACACAGTTACTGATTCTGTCATTAATTAAGTCTGTTATTCTGGTCACTGTGGATTTTGTACATCAGGTTGGATTTTTTTTTTATTCTTTTCTTTCTGGTGCTAGAATTGAACCCAGGGCCTCCTGCATGCTAGGCAGGCCCTCTACCACTGAGCTCCACCCCTAGCCCTGGATTTTTCAAAATATTTGTTCTCTCTCTGGTTCCTAAGTTTTTTGGGTGCCCCTTTAGAATGTGTGCCCAGGGCAGATGCCCCTCAGCTCCCAGCCCTGCCTTTGGGCAGCCGCCCCCCGCCCCCAGCTGTGAGCCAAGTTGTCACAGGCTGGCTGAGGTAGCACAGCCCCATCTCCAGGTTTCGAATCTTGGGCAGCTACTGGGTCCCTCCTCCCCACCCAAACCCCTCTGGCCACCACACCACAGCCACTTGCCTTACAAGGAAGAGGGAGGCTTCTCTATTTTTTTTGTCAATTTATTATTTTTAGTAGACTTTGTTTGGTGAGCAGTTTTAAGCTTACAGAAGAGTAGCGCCCGAGCTGCAGAGCTCCGAGCTCCGGCCTCTGCCCAGAGAGCAGCTTCCTCTGCTGCCCGCTCTTGTCCCAGCCTGTTAAAACTGACACATTGTTGCCACCTGAAGGCCACGGTGCTCGTCTGCTCCTTCTGTCATCTTGCCAAGTGCTTTGCACCATGTGCCTGGGTTCCAGCTTCTCGCCTGGATTTTATGTCCAGCACTAGGGGCAAAACAGCTTTTGAGGGTAGAGAAAGAGAAGACCTGAAAGTGTCGTCACAAACCCAACATCTAGGTAAGGCCGAGGAGGGAGTATTCAGACAGCCCTGACCAAGAATGAGCCACTCAAGGGACAGGGGTCGGAGGCTGGGGTAAGGCTGAGAATTGCTGCTGGCCCTGCTGAGGTGCCCACCATGCTGGACCCTCCACGCCCGGACGGAGCTTCTGCCTGTGTCTACAGGGTACAGCAGCCCCAAAGTGGAGGAAAGGTGGCTGATGGCACGCTGGGAGCACTTGCCAGGGATAAGAGAGTCTGCACTGGAGAAGCATCTACCTGAGAGGAGGGGGCTCAGGCCTTGATCCAAAGTGTGAGCAAGCCCAGGGCAGCGTGGCTTTAACCTGAGGCTGCACTGTGAGCCGGCCCCAGGCTCCTGGGTCAAGCCCACGCTGGCCTGGTGACCCTGGACACAGCCACAACCACATTGCCTTGAATTTCAGACCTGGTCCCTACCACAGGGGGGATCCTAGTGTCACCTGATAATAGGGGAGCTGTGACAGACAGGGAGGATGGCCCAGCTCCCCATGGTGCCAGCACCTCCTAAGCACTCTGTAGGGCATTAGGGATTCTTCGTTGGAGCCCAGGGTCCAGATCCAGCCAGTGGGCAGGTTGGGGTTGAGGCCGTGACTCGGGGTTCAGCATACTCTTTCACACTGTGCACCAGGAGGGGCGCCCCTGCACGTGGGATGTGTCCCAACAGTGAGCAAACAGCACAGCTGGAGACAGCCCAGAACCAGAAGTGGTGGCTCCCGGGAGTAGAAGGAACTAAGGGCTCAGACGCTGCGTACACACCTGCCATGCTGTCATCGGATTTAGCATCCTGGTCCTCATTTCACACCCCCCCCCTCATCTGGGACCAAGGCCTTGTGAAGGGGTGTGTCCCAAACCCCAGTGGGCCCTGAACCAGGTCACTGGGGAACTTGGAGAACAGGAGCTGGCTCACTGGGTCTGGGTAGGAAGGGCTGAAGAATCGCCTTGTAACAAGCTCCCAGCCGTGACCTCACTGGTCCACAGAGACCCCTTGAGTCCTGAGCAAAGCCAGGGCCGTGTCTGTGGTCACCTCCCTCTCCACTTCCCTGGGTCATTTTACTCCTCTCCGCCCCGCCCCTGAGTCAAGGTATCCCTTCTCAGCCCTCCTTGCTCTGTCTCCTGGTCACTCCATCCCTCCTTGGGGAGGACGCCTGGGCTGTGCCCATACAGGGTCTGAAGCGGAGATGGATGATGGGCAGAGGAGGATGGCTTGAGGTGCCTTTGATTCCTGTGCCTGGCAGGGAAGCTCTGGGGGCCAGAGGTGGATTCATCATATTTAGCTCCAACTCTGCATTTTCTTCCAGTCGTTGCCATCTGGACACATACAAGGGACGTTCGAACTGGCAAATAAAGAAGAAAACAGAGAGAAAAACAGATATCCCAACATCCTTCCCAGTAAGATTTTACTTATTTTGCATGGTTGGTGCCATCTAGGCTAAACTTGGCCTTCTCTTATAGCTCCCAGCGGCTGTGTCTGTCCAGCAGTACGCAGCATCCACTCACACCAGGAGCAGTGCAGCCCTCCTCTCTGGGTCTGTCTCCCTGCAGGAGGCTCGGGCCCCATTACTGCTCGGGGATCTGGTGCTAAGCCTGTGTTCATTGTTCAGGCCTGGATGCCCGGGGACAGGCAGGGTAGGGGTGCTGCTGCATGGTCTTGGGCATCACCAGGCAGAGCCCCTCCTATCAAAATCAGTCCTAGGCCCCCTCTAGGCCTGCTGGTGCCCTGGACAGCTCCTCTCCCTCAGACTCAGTGCTCTTGGCCACAAGCATAAAATCCCTAGCATTCTGTAGGGTCCTGGACCAAGGACAGAAGTAACAGAATAAGAAACCTATTGGGGTCTGGCATCTTTGTGGGAAGGCTTAGAATCCAATTTTCACCCCAAGAGCTAACGGTGGCTGTGGACCAGGGACAATCAGAGCTGGGTGTGGCAGCTCAGCACAGGGCTTCTCATGATCTGCTGCAGCTGTCTAGGCCGTGCCAGCCCAAACCCTCAGGCTCCCAGCAGCCTTTGCAAGGCTGGTAGTGACAGCCTGCACCCAGTCTGGACCCCTCCTGCCAGGCCAATGGAGCAGCAGTCTGCAAGGACTCCACCAAATGCAGTTTGAATCCTGAGCCCCACCCTCCTCATGGCCCACAGACCATGCTCCTGGGCAGTGCCCCATGGGGTCAGAGAACTCATGATGGTGGGCTTCGTGTTACTCTTAAATGCAGTTTCAGGGTAGAATGACATCTACTGTGTGTGTATGAGCTCTGTGGTGACTGGTCTCCCGCGTTTCAAGAAATATCCTTACCCATTTTACATGCATGGGGTTCATATGTGGTTTGACAGAGCCCTGTGTGAGCCCACGATACAACTAAAACTAGACAATCAAGTAGTCTCTCGTTGTAGAGGCAGCCTGGGGAGATCCAGGGAATGGGTCAGGAGCTGAGCTGTGAGGGTGGCATTCTGGGCACAGAGTGAGACCAAGTCAGAGGACCTGCTGCTGGAATAACTGAAGGAATCCAAGACGGGGGTGGGGGGGTGGGGGGAGGCACTTACGTGGCTCCACAGTTTGAAGGAAAGCGTGACCACAAGAGGAGGAGTCAGGCTCTTCAGAGTAATACATGTCCAATAGAAATCAGGGTATTCAAGATGAGTATCCGTTTCTAATTTAGTCACCTTAGTCGACCAGCTTAACTGATGCCTGCATTGCTCATGTGTGTGAAGGACCTACTCAGCACCAAGCACCTTCCCAGGGTCCTCTCTTATGTGAGGACTCTTGTCCTCTCTCTTAATCACCGAACCCTTGCTGCTTAAAGCATACTTACATTGTTAATTAAGAGTATTTCCTGGGGATCTTGTGGGACCAGAGTTGGTGGCCAGGTATGGAAATCTCCTACACCCTGGCCAGTGGGGCAACCACTTCCTCTGGGAGTCCTAACTGGACTGGGCAGGGCCTCTCCTGCTGGTCTTCTCTCAGCAGCTTGCACTGTGAAAGGAAGCAGCCTTCCTTCAAGCAAGGAAGGGCAGCAGGTGCTGGCCAGGTGGCTGAGCTTCCCGGGGGTCCTCCCCACCCCACCCTGCCCGGGAGGCCCCTCCACAGGAACTCCTGGGTGCTGGCAGCCATCCAGGGCTAGGGGTGCTGCAGGGAGTTCTGTGTTTCACACGGGTGGTGGGAGGTAGGATTCAGGAAGGGTGGCTGGGGACATTGTCCCTGGCATGAACCAACTAGGTGACATTCAGCTGAGAGAGAGGTGCCCCTGAGGGCCCTGCTGGTGCCAGGATAGTGGCTGGATCTTGGGACAACAGAGGGCTCTCAGGGCTGCCAGGGCCAAGCTGTGAGGCCCCTTCTCACCCAGGGTGGGAGCAAATGTTGGTGGGGGAGGGGAGTGGAGACCCTGCCTTTCCTCTTCTTCCCAAGCCTGGGGCAGCTCATACCAGGTTGAAAGGTGCCCCTGAAGCTCCTGCACCGTCTTCGACCCCAGGAGCTGAGGTCAAGGTCTTCCTGGGGGGACAGGACTTGCACCGGCTGAAAGGCTCCAGGGGTCTCCTTTTCTGGAATAAATGCCAAAGGCTGATGATTTTCAAAAATAATGTTTTGAGAGTGAAGTGTGACTTTTTAGAATAAAAAACAGGAAGCTCATAGAAGCTGCAAGATTCTAAATCTAACCAGAGGCTATTTTCCCTCTGCTGGTCTATAACCGTCCTCAAGTGTAAGTCATCACGGTATTTTGAGCCAGCCCTGCACGTGCTCCGCCAGCGCTGCTTCCGCTGGGCTGTCAGGCTGGGCAGGAGCGAGGGGGTGAAGTCAGCATGGCTGTGGGCTTGGGCTTGAATGCCCTGCCTGCGTGTCACTGTGACTGTCCCTGGGGCTTCACGACCCCCTCTGCCAGCAGCAGGGCAGATCTGGCCCCACAATGAAGCCCAGGCACAGGGGTCAGGACCACTAGCACTGGCCAAGTGGATAGACTTCCTGTGAGTTCAGACCCCAGCATGTGACGTGAGACGGGGCCGTGCTCCAGCACCACAGCCACCGCCGCCCCAGGAGGAGGATGAAAGGGAGCAATGGCAGTGTCACCCACTCACCGCGCCTGAGCCCGGACACTCGGATGGACGTGGGCTGGGTCCCAGGCTGGGTGACACCTCCAGGGCCATGGAGATGGCCCAGTTCCTTGAGACTCAGACACGCTGCAGAGTCCAGCCTCGGTCGCAGCCGCCTGCTCACTAACTTCTCACACAGTGGAAGGAGGACAGCTTTCGCTTTTTTCTGAAACAAAGGCCCAAGAAGGCAGAAGTAACGGAGCCCACAAAGGCTGTAGCCTCCCCAGTGAGCGCACAACACCACACGTCACACCAGAGCACACACAATAGAGCACACATGTAGAGCACACACATGCAACATATTCACACACAACACACAGAGTAGGCCACAAACACACCACACACGTATACATGGGCCACACGTGACACACTCAACTCACTGACATCCCAGCATATTGCACACCACACACACACACACCCCACAGGAAACACCACAAATAGACCTCTCCACAAGCATGCACATGGCGCACACACACACACACACACACAAGCATGTACACACAGACAGCACCCTGTCCACTCCCACTCTGGAAAGCCCACCCCAGCAGGTTGGACTCCAGCTCAGGCTGGGCTGGGCCTGCGTGAGCCCTGCTTGCTTCCAGCCCAGGGCAGACAGGTGCCCTTGCAGACGGCCAGGGATGGGGGTGGGGCTCAAGGTCCCGAACCCCACACCCAGCTCCCAGATACCCTGGAGAGCCTGCGAAGGTGGACCCAAGTCCTGTCCTGAGGTTCTCCTGTGTGCTCCACACTTGTGAATACCGGGCCCACAGTGCCCAGTCATCTGCTGGCAGGGGTTCCAGCGTGCTCTGTCATGCCTTGTGTACGTGTTCACCCACGAGTCCTGACCCAACGCTGACATCCCACTGCTGTCATCCCACAGCTGTGGGAATCAAGGCGGCCCAGAGCAGGTGCCCTTGCAGCCTCAGGGCGCCCGCAGCCCCACGGCAGCTGTAGAATGCACCTCTGCTGCCCGGCACTGCTGGGGGCCACCCAGTCGGGTCCTTGCTGGTAGCTAACACTTCAGGTGAAGGAAGTGCAGGTTCCTCCCCTGACAACACGGGTTTGTCTGGTTTTTCCAGATGACCACTCCAGGGTAATTTTGAGCCAAGTGGACGGAATCCCCGGCTCGGACTACATCAACGCCTCCTACATAGACGTAAGTCACACGGCTTTGCACCCCCTGGCCCGGGAACACAGGCACTTGGACTGAGTCTGAGTCATGACAGGGGCATTTTCTTCTATGGCCTTTCTGGGCACTTGGCCACACAGAGCACCAAGGGCACAGAGCCACCAGCACCCAGGAACCTGCTGTCAAGAAGTCAGAACATGGAGGTCACACCAGACAGTAACAGAGATAACCACATGACAGCCATGTTTATCCCATGACACGAGAACCAGCTAGTTCAGTGATGACTGGTTAAATAAATTATGGTAAAACCATATATAATCAATTATTAAAATTTGTTTAAATTGATCTCTAAAAGATCATTAATATAAATTATAAAATTCACATTTAAAATACAAGGACTCAATAGGATTTGTAAATTTTGCCCCAATTTTTAAAATATAAATGTCCAAGGTCCTGCTTATGTGCATGTGTGTCTGGGGAAGTTGGCAGGAAGAAAACACCATCGAGGGGACCCAGGAGAAGAGCTTTTGCCATTTCTGAAATTGCTAGTGAGTTTTCTCTCCTCACTTTTATCTGTCACATCCTCTGTGGTGACACGGATTCCCTTTCTGATGATACTAAGATCTTTTCATCAGATCATTCTGAATAATTAAAAATCTGATTTTATTTTTCTAGGGCTACAAAGAGAAGAATAAATTCATAGCAGCTCAAGGTAAGCTTTTTACTAAATTAACTTCTGAGCATTATTTAGGTAAAATGATGTGACTATCTACCTGCCAAAGATACCAGTCATCGATATTGGATTTTTCTGCGTGTGTGTGTGTGGGGGGGGTTGTGCTGCTATGGTTAGCAGGCATGTCCAATGTCCGTGCACACCGTGGGTGCGTGTAGACAGACACCAGTCTATTCCACACCTGCACCATCTACACACAACCCACAGCAGCCCACTGCTGCTCTTCTGGCACATTTGGTGGGCTGGACCCCCTTCACCTTCTCTCCCTGGTCTCCTTGTAGCTCCAAGGCTAGGGGCGGGGGGCTGAGTTGCCTCTTAGATGAAGGCCCCTGCCAGGAGGACTCGGCCATAAAATCACGCTCTCAGCCTTGAACACTGTCTTGCACTTGAGCCCTTGGGCCCAGCTTCCCTCCCCTCCAGCAGATGCTGAGTCTGCAGGTGCCCCTGCTGCGCGCAGTGGGTATCAGGGGAGCTAAACTAGAGTTCTCTGACTTCCTCCTCTTGGGCCAAGAATCTATAGGTGGGTCCCAAAATTCACAGTTTATGACAATAACCTGGAAAGCTCGTCATAACCCAGATTCCCTGGGAAATAGAAACCCACACACATTCACGCACAGAGGATCAGAGCTATGTCTAGCCGAAAGTGTCAGGAGACCTGACAAACATTGGCTAAAAAGAGATAAAAGCATGTTTTTCTCTCCTATGAGCAGGCATCTCAGGGGAGGCAGCCCAAGGCTGGGACAACAGCTCAAGGGAGGGGCTGCTTTATCTTTCTGCCCTGCCCTCCTTCTCTTGTTGCTCCCAGCCTCAAGGTCACAAAATGGCTGGTGCACCTGCAGGCACTGTGTCTTTAGTGGACAGGAAGTGGACAAAGGGCAGAAGACTTTCTTCTAGAGACACTCTAAATTTTGTTCACATCTTATTTATGCTAAGAGATTGAGATCTTGACCAAAGAAGGGGGGGGGGTGAGAAGTGGAAGGTGAGTCATCAACCTGCAATCTCCCCCCCTTTCACACCACACACACACACACACACACACACACACGTCTTTTATGAATCAGAAGTTCTGGAGGGGCCTGCTATTCTGAGAAATGAACAGGTCACTTTGAAGGGTAGCATTAGACCCAGCCCTCCTCTGAATACCCCTTTAATGCCCATGAATATAAGAATCCAAACGCAGCCGACATTCAGTTGGGTGTCCTGGGTGTCCTGATGCAGGACAGGCAGGGATGGCCGTCACTGGCTCTGGCATCTCAGGGTCTGAAATGCCCAACCAGCTGTGCTGTGCCCAGGAGGGACAGTGCAGTTGTGCAGGCCAGCAGGAGCCAGGCTGGGGCCCAGGGGCTTCTGCGCATGCCCTTGACTCTGGACCTGTCCTCCGGGCTCAGGCCCTAAACAGGAGACTGTGAACGACTTCTGGAGAATGGTCTGGGAGCAGAAGTCCGCCACCATCGTCATGTTGACCAACCTGAAAGAAAGAAAAGAGGTGAGTCCCCACCTCGGGCTTAGTTCCTGTCCCTCCCCGTCCTTTGCCATGTCCATCCCTTCTAGCAAGCAGTACAGGGGAAAGCACTCAGGGACTTACAGCACTTTCATCTTAAAATAAATTCACCATGCTCCTGGACCCTCGCCGCCCTGCTCTGCACACGAACAACGGGCCCAGGTGTCAACCCAGCACTGGCCGAGGGCCGTCTCCCCACAGGGAGCAGCGGATTCCAGAATCAAGACCCAGAATGTGTGGGGTGTGGATGTGGAAGGCCTCAGACCGGGGAAGCACCGTCGCCTGCTTGTCCTGCAGATGAGAGATGCACGTGGGAGGGAGGAAGGGGACCCCAGCCACCATGAACAGCCACAAAGGACAGCTGAGCTGCCTCACGCCGAATGCAGCAAGTCCTCCTCAGTGTCCCCCCGACAGATGGGCTCCCTCCCAGATGCCAGGATCAGGCTGGAGCAGGGCCGCGGAGGGTCACGGAGGGCCGCGGGAGGGCCGCGGAGCCCCTGGAGGTCTGTGGCCCAGGCAGGACCTGGTGTGGGTAGTGAGCTTGTTCTCCAAATGGAAGGAGGACCCAGAGTCCGAAGGAGGCTTCTTCAGTGGAGCAACCCTGCGGGGAGAGCGTGTCCCAGCATGTCCAGCATGAAGGGCCTGCATGGGGGGAATGTCTGTCCTGCCAGCCCCTGCCCAGGCCTCTCCTGCACGGCAGGTGATGGTCAGGCCCCAAGGCACCTGGACATGCTGAGGACTCTGGGGGGAACTGAGCTTTCAGGCGAAATGGTGGGTCCTGGGGTCGCAGCCAGGGCGGAAGCCTTCCTAAGTGTTTCCACCTGAAACGCACAGGAAAAAGCCTCTAGTCACGGATTCTGGCCTTCTGGTTGGTCGGAATGGCGTGGTGGTTTCTGTTCAGGTTTTTGAGGGACAGGGCTGGGGAGTACCACGCCTTCTCACAGTGACTCTGCCTCCTCATCCTTGGTCACTCATGGAAGGAATGACGGGAAGGAAGCAGGGCCCAGAATGCTAGCCTTTCCTTCCCTGGGCAGCTGTGGAGGAGCCCCCACACTGTAGACCAGCAGGTCACCCTTCCCCCGGGCCCGGGACCCCTGTGACTGGCCACCCCCTCAGGCAGTCTTCCCGGGGGCCGCTTCTCCAAACAGGAAGCACAAGCCCAGTGCAGAAGCTGTGGCTGGCGGACCCCCACCCCCGTGTCCCCCACGTACTGTTGCCCAGGGCTTGGCCCTGCTCTCTGATCCTCCTCTGGGCCTCCTTCCGTGGGTGTCCATCCTGTGACTCAGTGCTGCCTGCCGGAGCCCAGATGAAACATTGCTCAAGAGAGTTCCCTTTTCTCGGCTGCTTGCACTTTGCTTGTGGTCTCCTGCCTCCACTTCCTGAGGAGCACATTGTGAAATGAGGCTGGCATCTCATGATTGATGGAGGGAGGGGAGGCGAGGACCCAGGGACAGTCACCAGGAGCCTGTCAGGGCCGGAGCCTGAGCTCCTTCTTGCTAGAACCTTTCAAGGCAGGAATTGTGGACTGGTCCCAACAGCCCCAGGGCGGGGCGAGATTCACCCAAACCAGGACCCTTGGGTGTTCCTCGGGCTGCTTCAGAGACTCCCTGTGAACATCGGGAGCCTGGGCCAGGATGTGGTGGGTGGGGGCTGGGGGAGGTGTCCCATGGGTGTCATAACACCAGGATGCTGGTCTCTGGTAATTACCAGGCACTTCATGCTATAGAGGATTATTAATCCTGGAAAATTGGCCGGTTAGCTGTGCCACCCCTGGGCCATTTCCAAGACAAACTGTCAGATGCCTGGAGGCTGGTTAACTTTCAGAGACTTCTCAGTGCAGCCCCCACATAGCTCCCCTCTTGTTGCGAGTCCCCATTCATTCATGTGCTCGTGCTGAGAGGAAACTCCTACAGGTAGATGCTAGGGGCACCAGGAAATAAGAGCTCCTGGAGACTGTGTTTGGGGCCGTTTCAACTTCAGAGGGTGAGATGGTAAGGAAATAGCCTCTGTCACCAAGTGCCACCTGGCAGATCCTGCATCAGCCTATTCTCCTGGCTTCAGGCTTCTGCCCTTGAACAGGGCCAGGAGGTGCTGCTAACAAGTGCTTGGTGAACAGGCAGAGGGGAGGACCTGTGTGAAGTGTCTGCAGGCGTCCTTGGGGACAAGGAGTGAGCTTCACTCTAGCCTGAGGGCTATCTTGGGTCAGGTTGCCCAGCTCTGAACAGAGCAGGCTGAGGCCAGCTCTACAAGTGAGCGAGCAGACCAAAGAGACCACAGCTGAAACCAGCAAGCCCGGCCAGGCCTGGTCCTGGGGCTTCTTTCCTATGGTGCGACCTCACCTGCCCCACTGATAAGGGAAACGCTCTCCCGCCTGCTTTCCCATCCCAAGGAACTGCGTCTCAATCCTGGTCCAGGGGCCCTGTGTGGCCGGCGGGGACTGGGCGGGGTGACGAGGCACCCTTGAGGATCTGTTTGTTTCTGTGTGTTGCTCCATGCAGGAAAAGTGCTATCAGTACTGGCCCGACCAGGGCTGCTGGACCTACGGAAACATCCGGGTGTGCGTGGAGGACTGCGTGGTCCTGGTGGACTACACCATCCGCAAGTTCTGCATACAGCCGGTGAGCACGCCCTGCGGCCACCCCGCCAGGGCCATTCCTGGGAGCACAGGCTGGGGGTCAACACATTTCTACACTTTACAACACGGGAAGCTGCGTCCCTCCTGCAAGACCCTCACGGAGGGGGCTGTGACAAGTCTGCAGAGAGGCCGTCTGTTCTGTGGCTCCCTGGGAAGGAGGAAGAGTCTTTTGGCAGGGCAGGGCATCTGAGTCCCCCTCAGTGGCAAGCTGTCATTTCACGTGACGTGGAAGGCAGCTTATTTTTATTTAATTAGTTTATTTATTTTAGTCTAAAAGTAGCCCATGTCTAGATGGCCATTTCCGTTTTTTTCCCATTTTCTACCTGGTGCATTATGGTTGTACATGCTGACGGGATTTGTCGCTGCATAATCACACATGCGCACAGTGCACAGTAGGTGACAATGCCATGTGGCCTAGCCAGGCCCCGGCCCTCCTCCCTGCCTGCTGCCCCCACTCCCGCTGGCCCTTTCCTCCACTGGCCTCCCGTCATGTTCATGAGATCCCTGCCCACCCCACCCCGCCTTTCTTCTCCTTTTTCCTCTCCAGCCTCCACACGGGACAGAAAACATATGACCCTTGACCTTCTGAGTTTGGCTTATCTCACCGAACATATTGTTTTCAAGTTCTATCTATTTTCCTGCAAATGACATAATTTCATTTTTCTTTATGGCTGAATAAAACTCCAAATATACCACATTTTCTTTATCCATTTATCTGTTGATGGCCACCTGGGCCGGTTCCATAGTTTGGCTATGGTGAATTGAGCTGCTATAAATACGGGTGTGCATGTCTCACTGTAGTGTGATGGCTTTAATTCACTGGGGAGAATACCAGGGAGTGGCATGGCTGGGCCGTGTGGAGGCTCCACGCCTGGCCTTTGGGGGAGCCTCCTTAGTGGTCGTACTAATCTACGACCCCGAAGTGTGGAAGGGCCCCTTTTCCCCACATCCTCTCCAGCATTTTTGCTTGGGTTCTTGATGGTTGAGGCAGCATTTTTTAAAACAGTTTCAAAATGTGTCCAAAACCTCCTGGTTGTTTTTCACACTTCCTGTAGTTCCCCACTAAAAGAATAAGGCAGACATTTTATCAGGATTCGAGGATAGAGTGATTGGTATAATCAAATTTAAAAATATGAGGCTGAGATTACTAGAAGCCACAGCAAGAAAGGGAGAGAGTAAGTTTTATTGTTCTTCTCGCCCTGCTTTCCTCTCTCCTGGAGGCACAGGCACTTGCACACACATGTGCACATGCCAACACACACACGCCCCTCCAGACATACCTCGAGCCTTCCATGGTCTGGGGCAAGTGAACTAAACCCACAGGCTCTGGGTCCCAAGAGCAGAGAGGCTCTGGGGGACCGGGGGTCTCTGATGAACAGGCCCCCTTCTTTTCTCCCCAAGTTGAGACACTCCTCGGGGGAGAAGGTGCTGTTGCTGATCGCTCAGGACATGGGAGAGAAGTGGGGCTGTGCAGGGAGAGCAGGGTAGGCCCCTCCTTGAAGTGGACTCTCTTAGGACCTGCTCTGGGGATGTCTGGCTACTTGAGGCCTGCATGGCCTGGGCATGGCCAGGTGCCCATGGCCCTGCTCCCTGCCCCCTGCCAGAGCCCATGGTGTCAGCAGTGGCCAGCGCCAGGGTTCCCACTTGGGCATTCTTCACATTGATGGGCACTGACACCCACAAGAGCCCCTGCTGCCACAGCCTGATGGCCCTGTGGAGCCCAGGCAAGGACCTCAGTAGGGATGTGGGTGGGCAGGCGAGGGCCACCCCGCCCCTGACTCGCCTTGCCCTCCACAGCAGCTCGCAGAGGGCTGCAAGGCCCCGCGGCTGGTCTCGCAGCTGCACTTCACCAGCTGGCCTGACTTTGGAGTGCCTTTCACCCCCATCGGGATGCTCAAGTTCCTCAAGAAAGTGCGGACGCTCAGCCCCGCACACGCCGGGCCCATCGTGGTTCACTGCAGGTACGAGGGTGGGCTGTGGAGGGAAGCCTTGCTCGTGGGACAGTGGCCAGTGGTCAATGTCAAGGTGTCAGGGGGGCGGGCCGGGGGTGGGCCATTCCTGAGTGGTAGCTCCAACAGCCCTGCAGGGAGAGAGCAGGGGCAAGTTCAGGGTCTCCCCAGCACATCCCATGTAGCAGAGCCTGGCTTCGGTGGCTTTTGAGAAAAGACCCCCATATGTAAAGTCAACCAAGCAGAGAGACACAGATTGACCGTGGGAGTGGGGCCACAGGCCTCCCCTGGGCCTTCCCCTCCGCTCCCCCAGGGACCTCATGATCCCTTGGATCCCAAGGAACACACCCAGGATGTCCTCCCTTGCCAGGACACAATTATGCCCATGATAACCAGAAGAAAATGTTTGGCTGCTGATAAAATTACCCACACAGCCTCATAGAAAGCTGCTGGTGTCTGTGGCCCCCGGAGAACGTTACTGAGGTCGCAGCGCCCTCTAGTGGTCACACCGTAGACTCACCCCTCAAGCACCCAGGAGAAGTTTCCCTGACTTTCCTCCTGCTCTGTCCTGGAGCTCCAGCCTACCCCAAGCTCTCCCCAGGCTCCTTACTTCAGGGGAATGTGACCCAGGAGGTGGCATCTTTCTTCTTCTCCAAAGCGCGGGTGTGGGCCGGACGGGCACCTTCATCGTGATCGATGCCATGATGGATATGATACACTCGGAGCAGAAGGTCGATGTCTTCGAGTTTGTGTCACGAATCCGCAATCAGCGCCCTCAGATGGTTCAGACAGATGTGAGTGATGCCTTCTCCCACCCTGGTCTGAGCTTGCCAGGCAGCCTCAGGGCCCTTGCCAGACAGGCACGTTGGGGCTCGCGGCCTCTCCCCTGTGGCCCAGGTGTTGATAGGCAGGTAGCATCCAGGAGCATGCTGAGCATCAGGCCTGGCTCCTTTCTCATTCTGCCCTCTCTCCCTTGGGCCCTGGGGACTGCCCAGCCTTGTCCTCCATGTCTTCATAGGCCATGGGTGACTATGCTACCCCAGATGGCACCTGGTGTCCTCAGTTTACACCAGTGTCTACCATCCTCTTTACTGGAGGGCCTAAATGACCAATCTCTGTGGCCGTGAATCTGACTTTTGCCCCCAGCCTCCCTCCGTGGGCAAACAGAGACGAGAACAGCCCCACTGTGCCCAGGGCAGAGTCGAGGCTGGGCACCCTGGGTCTCCCGCAGGTGCAGTACACATTCATCTACCAAGCCTTGCTGGAGTACTACCTCTACGGGGACACGGAGCTGGACGTGTCCTCCCTGGAAAGGCACCTGCAGACTTTGCATGGCACCGCCACCCACTTGGACAAGATCGGGCTGGAGGAGGAGTTCAGGGTAAGTGGGCCAGGGTGCACCATCTCCTGGTGGGCGGGCTGAGGAGAAGTGACCCTTGAGATGGAGCCTTTCCATCATTTACCCTCTTGGCTAACCTCGGAGGAGCAGGGCACGTGCTGGATCATGATTTCAAGGAAGAATGGTGAGGGGCTTTCATAGCTTTGAAAGCAGGGGATGAGGCTTGAGGCCACCTGTTATCTCCCAATGCTGAGGCTACTTATTGGAATGGAGACAGGTGTTCCCCGTGTCCAGGGGCCCCCACAGTAGGACTGTTATTGGCTGAGCACTTTTCCCAGGAGTTATAACTGCATCACTGTGTCCTATCAATTGTGCAGAAATTGACCAATGTCCGGATCATGAAGGAGAACATGAGGACCGGCAACTTACCAGCAAACATGAAGAAGGCCCGAGTCATCCAGATCATCCCGTGTAAGGCCGCCTGCTCAGGTCGCCACCCCTCAGGGCAGACTGGGGCAGGGGCTGGGATGGGCTGCTCTCAGTTGCTGAGAGCCTGCTGACCAACCACCTCTATAAACCAGGGTCAGGAGCGGGTGCCCACAGATCCAGACTCTGGGCCCCTGGATGCTATTATCAAATATTGAGAAGAGAAGACCTTTCTGGGGCACCCAGGTAGCCCAAGCAGTCCAGGTGTGTCCCAGCCTGGGATGTGGCCCAGAGGCAGGGGAGGCCCCTGACTGCCCTGCAGGGAGGGCCCAGGGAAGCTGAGAGGGTTGCCACGGGCAGGCCTGGGCCCTTATTCTGGACCCCTGCAGAGGGGAGCGTGAGTGTGGGCTGAGGCTATGTGCACAGCCAGATCGGAACCCAAGGCAGCTGGGCCTTTCCAGGAAGAGACGTGGGGAGGGTAAGACCAGGGCCGCAAGTGGAGCTGGGACTCTGCTGACACTGTGGGCACGGGAGGCAGTGGTCAGCAAGGAGGTAGGAGCCCACATCTGGGGTCTCATCCAGTGGGGAGAAAGAAAGAGAAGTTAGGGCGAAGAGTGGACACTGAGGGCACCGACGCACATGGGAGGGAGGTGGGACAGCGCCCGGCCAAGAAGAGGGCAAGCCGTGTTGCAGACAACGTGCCCTTGACGGACCCACTGCTCAACAAACGCCTGCCACGGCAATTTTGGAGTGGGCTTGCTCTCACCGCGGTCACCTGTGCTGCAGAGAGCAGAAGTTCCTGGGGCTGGGCCAGCCTTCCCCACTCAGACCCGTGATTCTCCATGGCCACAGTATCCTCAGGCTGGCAGTTCCAGCTCCTACTGGCTACACTCTGTATTCCTTAAAGTCAGTGGTTTTAATACTTGTAATTTAGTATGTATCATATCGATTCATGAAACATGAAAGAAATAACTGGATTATTTTCAGAGCTTTCCAAAGAAACAAAACAAAACTTCCCTAGAAAACTTTATTAACCTGCTTTATATGGTAAAGGCCCCAAAGAGGTGGCCTCACGTTTTGGAAGTGTATAGCAACAGGTCAAGGTTTTCAGGGCAGGACAGTATCTGCTCTCGCTGAAACATAATGCCATTTGCAGATGACTTCAATCGAGTGATCCTCTCCATGAAAAGGGGTCAGGAGTACACGGACTACATCAATGCATCCTTCATAGACGTAAGTACTGTGGCCTAAGGTGTGCATGGTGTGTGTATGCCTTCCTGTGTGGCCACACTCTCTGGTACCTTGTTTTCACCATAGAAGGCACTGGCAAGTCTGCAGAAACTCAGCTGCTGGTAGCCAAGTTGCTTGTTTAAAAAAAAAAATAAGCGTGTGCTTGGGAATAGGCCATGACACTGCGGGGTCAGTGGCCATTTCTTCACCAGCTTCCACTGCGAGCTGCTTTTCTCAAACACACCCATTACACCCCAGCCATACCTCCAGGGCTTCCTCCCTGGGCTATTTCTGTGACTTGTACCTACGATATGGACAACAGGATCATGTGTCCAGGCCACAGCATGTCCTTATGCACAATGGCATCTGCAGAAAAGCAGGCAGGATAGACCTTGTGGCCAAATGCACATTAGTGTTCCCGTTTGCAGTTGAGGAGATGACTTCAGATGTCAGTGGGGCCCTGGTGGAGCTGGGATTTGAAGCACCTTCCTCCAGCTCCACGCCTAGGTCCCTGCCCAGACCCCCATCCCATCAATATGCTGCAGTTGGTAGTTCACAGTAGCCATTCGGAGGGGACCTCAGGTGCTGGAGGTGGAGGCCAGGTGTGTAGTGCTCAGGTGAAGTGGGCATCCTGGCCTGCTTCATGGGTGTGGGGGGTGTGCGTGTGCACACACGTGTACAACGTGGCTTTGGTTCAGGCCATGAAGATCAAGTTTTCCTCCTCAGGCCTGGGGCTGTCTAAGCGCTCCTGGCAGGTGGTGGCCATCAGAGATAAGGAAACCGGATTCTAACCTCTGCTCCCCCACTTGAAGGGCTACCGCCAGAAGGACTATTTCATCGCCACCCAGGGGCCGCTGGCGCACACCGTCGAGGACTTCTGGAGGATGGTGTGGGAGTGGAAGTGCCACACGATCGTGATGCTGACCGAGGTGCAGGAGCGAGAGCAGGTGAGCACTGCCGCTGGCTCAGGTCCTCCAGGGCATCTGGGCACCTGCAGTGGCCACAGCTACCCCGTACAGCACCTCACCTGCTTGCGTCCTGCAGACAGGCTGGTGAGGCCCAGCCTGGCAGGAGGCGGAGAGGTCAGAGATGAGAAGGGTCCTACTCCACCCTCTGCTTTTCTGGGGGTGGAGGAGGTGTTGGCCTAAACACCCCTTTTAGCCGTAGTTCAAATCCTGATCCTGTGTCAGTCGAGATCACCACCCGCTGAAGAAAGAGACAGACATTGACATGCGTCCCCTGTTGATATTGTTCTAGTCAAATCAAGCACGTTTCTGTTTCGTTTTCCCAGAAACCCACCCTTGGCCCTCTCGTATTTACTTCATAATGTGACAAACATTCGTGAACCCAACAGAGAAAGCATCGTGTAGGTGAACGAGCCCAGCACCACCCAGCAGGAGTCTGTTTATCTTAATGTTTAGAACAGCAAATCCTTGGGGTCCAAAAGGAGGCCACCTGTTGCCAGGCTGAGGGGAGGGGAAGGGGGGACGACAAAAAAGACTTGTTTTTGCTTATGTCTGAACTTTATATAAAGAGTAGTGTTAGATGTGTGCTCCTCGAGGACTGGATTTTTCCACTTAAGTCTGAGCTTTGGTTGGTTTTCTGTGTTGGCATCGCCTCGTTTCATTACGTCCCTTCTTTACCTTCCTCCTGCCATTTTCCTTTTTATCAATGGTGCTGCTGCCCCTTCTTGTACACGTCTCATGCTGCACTGGGTGGGGTCTCCAGTGTGCCCTCCCGTGCAGAGCACCTGCAGTGGGAATCTGCCAGATGATTCTCAGCTGCTTTCCTTCCAAACTGGTCTGCAGAGGGCTCACCTGGGATGTGTAGGATCTATCATCCGTTACACGCCTAGTGTTCTGGGCGCCCTAATCCTTGTGAGTAAATAATTGTAGACACACCTCTTCCTGGTCCTGATTTGTTTGCATCCCCCTGACTCCTCCAAGGTGGAGCACACTTCCCCCATCTGTGGCTGGCACTTTTCCTCTTCTGTAAAACTGCCTGCTTTGCTCTGCACCGTGCTCCCTCCTACGGGGCAGGGGGCCCATTACTGATGATTTGTAAGACCTCTCTGCATGCTCTCCATGCTCATCTTGGTTGGTTTCATGCATTGCAAACACCTCTCTGCGGTTGGTGGCCTGTCTTTTCACTCTCGCTGATGTCTGTTAATAAGAGATGTGAGTTTCACTCCAATCAGCTGTTTTTAATAGTACCTCATTTTGGGCTCACTCATTGGGGGTCTTATTTAGTAAATCCTTCTGTATCCCAAAGTGAAAGGATATTTTATTCTTCTAAGGGTTTCACAGTCTTGTTTTTAGCCTTAAGTCTTAGCTTATCCAGTTTGTTGTTATGAGGGTTCCAGGCTACTATTATGGAATACAGCCCCTATCCGGCCACCTCCAGGAGGCACAGGGTAAGGGCCAGGGATCCAGTTTTATTTTTCCAGCTCTCTTTGTTGAATAATCTCTCCTTTCTGTTCTGTACGAAGTTCCATGTATGTATTTATTTCTAGACTCTATTCTGGGCCCTTGATCAACAGGCATTAATGGATATCACATTCAGATTCATATGTCATTTTCTTGGACAGGTGAAATATCTTAAATGGTTTGACAACAATTCTACATCATAAGATCAAAAGCAGTAGTAGCCAGGTGTTACCAGGCTTAACATTTTATTTCATCTCTCAAGGATAAATGCTACCAGTACTGGCCGACAGAGGGCTCAGTCACTCATGGAGAAATAACCATTGAGATCAAGAGTGATACCCTTTCTGATGCCATCAGTATACGAGACTTCCTGGTCACCTTCAATCAGGTATTGCTGCCCTGGCTCTTTCAGCTCTTGCAGACCTCATGAAGCCTCCTCACTCAGGGATCTGCTTGTCACCGTGCCAGATCCAGGCCTGTACCTGTTACCTGCCCTGCCCTGCTCTATCTGCCTTTTCCTGAGTCCCAGAGTACATGAAGAGCTACGAGGTTATCCAGTGGCCAGTCTCCCATTGAATCCATACCTCCTGGTGGCCACCTGCATCCTTGCTGGAGGCTGAGGCTGTGAGGCGGAGGCCCACCCATCCAGCATTACTCTCCCATTCCCAGCCAGGGCAGTGACCTCAGTAGTGAGCAGGAGAGGATGAGATGAATGAAGCCACAGAGGCCTCTTGGGGCCCTCTGCCATGGACCTCCTCAGAACCCCCATCCAGGTCCCCTTTAGGTCCGGGGCTCTGATCACCTTTGCAAAAACTCTCCGCGATCTCTGGGTCAGCAGGGTGAGATGACTCACCTGTGGGTCTTGGTTCTGAATTCCAGCCAGCCAGTCCAGGGGGTCACACAGCTGCTAGGCATATGCAGGACTTGCTTCCAGCCTCTGAGCCCTGACATCTCAGAAAGAGGATGTCCTGCCCTGAGCACAGCTGTCCTTATATGTCTTGGACCCAGGACTAGCCAGGCCTGTTACGATAGCCTGGGGGGAAGGAGATGATGTTGGTGGCCACAGAGGAGCCAGGGAGGGCTCTGGGCCCAGCCAGACTCGTGACAGGTCGGTAGACCCAGGGGGCGTGGACCTGCAGTGCTGAGACCCTTCTCCCATGCAGCCCCTGGCGCGCCAGGAAGGGCAGGTCCGCACCGTGCGCCAGTTCCACTTCCACGGCTGGCCCGAGATCGGAATTCCGGCCGAGGGCAAAGGCATGATCGACCTCATCGCGGCGGTGCAGAAGCAGCAGCAGCAGACCGGCAACCACCCCATCACCGTGCACTGCAGGTGAGCGCGCCCGCAGACCCTGCCGCCCACCCGGCAGCTGGGGAGCAGAGCCCGGGAGTGCTGCGGGCATCGTGAGTCCCTAGACTGTGTCCCTTCCCTTACACACTTCACGCATGACGTCACATAGCACGTGAAGGCCATCCCGGTATACACGCAGAAAGCACCTGCGGGAGGCTTTGGGAACATGGTCCTGAAAATCGTTCCGGGCCTCTCTAGCTATCCTCCCTCCTGCGCCAGGAACAGTCTGTGCTGCCGAAGGACCACGAGGGTGGGGGTGGGGGCTGGCCACGTGAGGGGATTCAGGTTGGGATCCCTCATCGCCACCCCCACCCCATCATGGGCAGGGGAAGAGGGACATCCCAGGGTAGAATGTCCCTGGAGGCAATGGATTTCCCCCTGGAGGACCTGACAGCACCTTGCAGAGAGCATACGGTAAATCCCGCCAGATCTGAAGACCCGCCCTCCATAACCTTAACTCCCAACAGGCTGGCGGTCCTGTGGCCATCCTCACAAAGTTCCTCCAAGAAGGTACAGAGCACTCCACACAAAGTGTTGAAATATCAAATGAACTCCATTAATTCGTTCAATTAATACGTGTTAATAAAAATAATAGCAATCATAATAGTTACTAAGAATTTAATAAGAACCCCCTTTTTGGTCTCCCTCCGGGCATCTTCTAGTCCTGCCTGAGCAGACATAAGTATAAGAGAAAGATACACTGTGAGAACCTTGTGACCCTTGGCCTCCAGGACAGCATCTTGGCGGCAATGGGACCCTCCCAAGGTTCTGCCAACTTGGGTTTGGGGTGATGATTTGCTTCTAAAGCTGTGATTATGTTTCACTTCCCACTTCTTATGACCTGCCTTTCCTCCACCTGCTGCCCCATATAGTGTGGCCACCAGAGCCCCTGACTAACTAAGAGGGGTGGGACTCTTTCCAGTGTAAGGTCACCTGAGTGCACTCCTGGCCTGACCAGGAAGCGGAGCTCACACCTGGCACTTAGTTCCAGAGGGCTTTGCAGAGGTCATTTAGAATAAAGTAGAAAGGCGTGGCTTCCTGAAGAGTTTAGCACATGGAGGGCACAAGGGGTCCCACCTGAGGAAAGGCAGATGTGGGAGAAGGCAACACAGCAGGTCAGAGCTGCTGGAAGAGGCTGGGCAGTCCCACCTCCTGTCGGCCTCTGGCTTGGGCTACACTAAGAGCATCTGGCCCTGCTCTAGACATTAATGAATATTCACATTCACTCCATGCTCACTGCTGGAAATCCGAGGTCTGACCATCCTCAATAGTGAGCACCTGCTGTCTTAACATCCCTTAAGTGCCACTTTTCAGGGTCCCCAGATCCAGAAGACAGGCCTGCACAGTAAGGAGGGTGTGTGCCAGGATCCTCCTCCCTCCCTGGACCTGAATGGCATTGTTCCCATTTCTAATGAGTTCCCAGGTGATGCTGAGCCCACTGCTCCCTGAACCACACTTGGGGAACCCCTGGTCTGCACAAGGAAAAAGGGAAATGCTTAAAAACTGTAACTGTCTGATTCGTTTCACAAACAAGCTGGTTCCTGTAAATGGGGACATGCTCTAGCAATGGTAGGTTTGCTGAATCTTGCTCAGAAACTAAGCTCCAGGAAAGATCACTAAAGATCCAGACAAATTCTGATCCTTTCCAGTGACTGTCACTTCCGTGCTGGTGTGCAGGGGTGGCTGTAAGCTCTCTGTGTGCAAGCTGAATGATCATCACCACGCACTTTCTGTCCACAGTGCGGGAGCTGGGAGAACAGGTACATTCATAGCCCTCAGCAACATTTTGGAACGAGTAAAAGCTGAGGGACTCTTAGATGTATTTCAAGCTGTGAAGAGCTTACGACTTCAGAGGCCACACATGGTGCAAACCCTGGTAAGAACCTGAACGATAAGGATGTTTCCAGAAGAGTGGAGGATTGTGTCGTGTGTTTGATGTCTGTTTCATGAAAGGTGCTCCAGCGTGGGGAGGCGGAGGGTGCGATTCCCAGGGCAGAGAGCCGCTGCAGCTTTCCACAGTGAAGCCGCACACCCTCCCTTCCTCAGTCTCACACACATCTGTCCTGTGGGCAAGACCAAGAGGAGGGGCTTGCCCACAAATTCCACCACATTTAAAAATCACATCATTATCAAGTTCAAAAGCAGCACTGAAATGTCTTGTCATTTTCATTCTTACACTATGGCGTTTAGTTGGTCTGATTTCCTTGGCAGAGTCTCACCTAACCTCAAGACCCTGCCCAGGGACATAAGGGACCCAGCTGGTATATGATTGCCCTACACATTCTCTTATGTTACATGCTTCCTGGTTTGGGAATTGAGTCTTCCTCACCAAATTCAGTAAGGGCACTTGCTAAACCAGAAGGTATGATTTTAAGACTGTTATAGCTCATCATTTTCCCTAAAGCTCCCTTGTTTAGGACTTTTCCTCCCTGCCTGCTCCTTCTCCACACTAGCACAAACCTGCCTTGAGCAGCCTGGTCCCCACTGAAAGAAAGGAGGAGAGAGGACCTTCCCACAGCTTTCCTGTCACAGAGGGCACAGCAGCCACAGGAACCACTGAGCCAAGAGCAGGTGTGCCTTGGTGCCTGAGACCAGGGTTGTCTGTCCTGGCTGCAGGGTACACTCACCTGGAGACTTTAACTTACCTCCAGTTGCCCAAATGGCCCCTCAAACCAATTAAGTGGAATCTAATCCCCTAGTGGGGGACCCAGGTATCAGCATATTTAAAGCCCCACGGCTGGTAGCAAAGTGAACCCAAGTTTGAGAGCCCCTGGACTGGAAGGAACTTGGTGCTTGCTGGATCTCTTGCACTGTAAGTCTCTGCACCCTGCAAGCTCTGACCCCATTGGGAACCTGGATGGCTGGCAACAGTTGGAAGGATGAGGCACCCAGAGCTCTCCACTGGCCTCGGGCCCTAGTCCCAGCTCTGTTGGTCCCTGTAGGGCTCTGAGGAAATGCTGGAGAGGCCCATGAAAGCCTCCTGTGGTTTACACCTGCCTCCTGGTAGTTCCTGCCCCACATGTCACAGCTGAACAATGCTGGGTGTGGGAAAAATGGCACAGAGCACTCCACAAAGTGTTGAAATATCAAATGAACTCCATTAATTCGTTCAATTAATGCGTGTTAATAAAAATAATAGCAATCATAATGGTTACTAAGAATTTAATAAGAACCCCCTTTTTGGTCTCCCTCCGGGCATCTTCTAGTCCTGCCTGAGCAGACATAAGTATAAGAGAAAGATACACTGTGAGAACCCTGTGACCCTTGGCCTCCAGGACAGCATCTTGGCCACAATGGGACTCTCCCAAGGCTCTGCCAACTTGGACAAGCTCCTTCTGCTTTGGGGGTTTCTGTGGGAAATGAGCTGATGGCACTGTCCTTAAGCCACTGTGCAAAATTTGCTTTAAAGTTCTACTAGTGCCTGGCCCCAGGGGAGGCACCAGCAACTGTACCAAAGATCATCTTGCAGAGAAGCTGCTTGCAGAACTTCCTTGGACTCTGAGAGTTCATGGCTCATGTAATTTTCCTGTCTGGCCCAAGTGTTTTATTTCCCAGTGCATCAGGTCCAAGTGCCCTACCGCCCCAGCTCTGCTCCCTCGTCCCTTCTCCCCCCACCTCCTGTCCCCCTCACTGGGAAGCTGCCCTGGGATTTTTTTTCTGGCTCTCCTGCCTGGTGGCAGCTTCACACCCACACACCCAGCACATAATGTGCCTTCCAAAACAGAGGCCAGCGAGCAGACAAATAGGGACAAATTGGCCATTGCGTGATGACTATCAGGTATCAGGCACTTTACAGACATCCTTCTCGTCTCCTTGCGTATCCTGATGTCCACGGGGCATGTTCTTGCAGTCATCCCCTTTGGAATAGTCAAGCAGACTGCTTGGGTTTTAAGTGTCAGAACAAGATTCAAACCCAATCTACCTGACTGCAGAATTAAAGGGTATAACCACTATTCTGTGCTGCCAGACCTGTCTCTTAGCAGGGTATTTGGGCAAAGAACACAGGGTGCAAAACCTCAGTTGGGTAAAGAGAGGCTCACTGGTGCAGGTTGACTTGGCACACAAACCAGTTTCTAATTGCTGACCACTTAGTCTTGTTCCCCGCATCCTGGACTGAGTTTGGCAGGGACTGGCATTCATGTACTCTCAGGTCCAGGCTTTTGGTCCAACTTTCTTTCTCTGGAAACCATGTGCCATCCCATCCTGATCATACTGAGACTCCCGGAAAGGCTGAGCGGCTGAGGTTTGCCGTCTTGAGGGCATGTTCTGACCTTTGCTGGACCTGTGATTTGAAGAGGCTGCATCCCATATGTTGGGAAAGAAGACAGGAGGCCGCTGAGGACGGCTCCCAGCCTCTCTGGCCTCCTGAGCCCTTGGCTAAGGCTCCCAGATCACATGTGCCCCTTGGGCTGCACCCTTTTACAGGAGAGGCAGGGTCACCACTGTCGGCTGTCACTGGAACCTTTGGCGAACCTCCTCTGCCTGTGATGGGTTATGTCCACTTGCTTGTCTGAATATTCAGTAGGTTTTTCAGGAAAAATTCAGCAATTATCATTTTCTCCACCTTCCTTTCTTCCCACTGATGGTCGCCACAGGCAGTGCAGGATGGTCACCCTCATGGGGTGGCTGAGACAAGGAGCCTGGCAATATGTACAATGTCATACTAACAGAAATGCCTTACACAAATGTAAGGCAGTTATTCTTTTGACTTCTAGTAAAAGTCACATGAAACCAAGTCCTTTAGTGGAGTAAATTTAAGTTTGCAAATAATCCAGATCTTTGTTTTATTTAGCATTCATGAAATACTTTTTGTTACATTATGAACTTTATCTGATAGAACTTTTTGGATTTTTTTTGTTTAAAAAATGTTTGTTTTACAGTTTAAATATAAGAACTAAAGATATTTTACTTGGACTACTGGAGAATGCGCTAATCTGAAACTAAATCCTGACACTTTCTATGAAAGGAAAAGCTTTATTTGGAAATTTTTATGGGCCTGAAAACTAAACTGTGTTACAGAAGCTGATATGCATGTGGGCAGATGGTATTTCAGTAAGCAGGCAGAATTTAATTTTTTTAATGGTTCTTATTTTAATGAATAGTCAAATATGGGTTTTGAAGCATCATTTCACTGTTTCTTATTTTTCTTTTCAGGAACAGTATGAATTCTGCTACAAAGTGGTACAAGATTTTATTGATATATTTTCTGATTATGCTAATTTCAAATGAAGATTCCTGCCTTAAAATATTTTTTAATTTAATTGTCAGTATATTTTGTAAAAATTATGTTAATTTATTTCATAGTTGACATTAATGCCCTTCCTAATTTCTTTGTATATATTTTGTCATGCTTTAAAGGCCACCTGCTATAAAGTTATTAAATCTTAAATATCCTTTTTTAAAAATTGGAATAATATGTTAAGATCAAATAATATCCCACAAAATATATATTTCTGCTAATATCAGTAAATACCTTCATTCATCATTAGATTCATATCATGTAATTTCACACATTGTGTATCTCTAAATGTTGGAATTCTTAATATGCCAAGTGTGCTTATGCAAGACCCTAAACACAAAGACCATTGTCAAGACAGTTGAGGACTCAGAAATCAGCTGAATAGTTAGAATCCAAGTGCTGATCTTACAATCCTGAGCAACAGCATTATTTCTGAAAGCAATGCACTAAGGACTTTTGCAAAATCCTCAGCCTCAGCCACATGATTTATCTTTCCATTGTAAAGATCTAAGACTTTCCAACCTGAATCCAGGCCCAAAATACAGCAGTGTGGTCAGTGGCTGTGGGGTAATGTTCAAGAGGCTGCGTGTGAGCCATGTTTGTAGATGACATGGATGATGGCCAGGTTCTTCCATCCACCCATGGCCTTGGGTATAGCAAAGTCAGCCATGGGGGCTACACTCCCAAAGCACCACTTATGGTCCATCTGTCTGTCCTTTCGACTCAGAGTCCAACCCAGAGCATTCTCCTTCTCCCTCCTAGGCATGGCAGCTGCCTGTGCTGGCCTTGAGCAAGGCCTGTAGGCTCAGTGCAGAATCCTCCCGTCCAAACATATAGTGTCTTATGCACGCACAGTCAAGGAGCACACATTTGGGTAGACACCCGAGGATGATCGCAAACACACTGTAAATTTTCTGAGAAGCATTTTGGTATTTAAAAGTTTCTTGTAAAAAGCTAAGATTGTTTGTAAGAAAAGAAATCTTAAAAAATCTAGATTTGTACAGTTTTTAAACATCCCACTCCTCAATGTTTAATAAAAAACAAAGACAGAAATCCTTAATCTAAAGTCTTAACTTATTTTTGAATGGAAATATTGCTGAGACCTTTGGCACTAGGTAATAATAGTGATCCTGTTGCCGATGGGATTGGCTGAGGGACAGAGGAGGTGGGGGAATGAGTGTCCAAACCTCTAACTCGGCTATGATCTTTCCATGGCCATCAGACACCTAGCAGAAGAGCACAATATTAAAAGCAGATGTCTGGTCTGACATACTGAAAGCATTGAACATGTGCAGTTATGGTACTTTTTTTTTTTTTTTTTTTTTGCTTTTAAAAGAGGTATGAAATTATAGTGGCCTTATTTGGCATTTTCACTGAGAACCCAGGGTGCCCGCCTGCTGCACTGTTTATCCCCTGTTCGTTTACAGTATATGCAGGTGTGACTGGGTCAGTCACTGTCCTCCACAGGCTCACAGGTAACCAAGCTCCTCTCCCTCCCCTCGGCTCAGAGGCCCCCGGGGACCACAGTAGCTGCCCTTCTGGAAGGAGGAAAGCCTGCTCCCTCACCACCACCGTGAGCCACCACACTGCACCAGGCCGCAAGCTGTCTACACCCTGTCCTCTGTGCAGCAGTCAGGCACCTGGGGGGAAGACCGGAAAGGAAGGAGCTCTCTGTAACTTGCCAATTGCTACTTTTGTTTCCATTGTTAACATCCCAAGCCCTGAGCCTTTCTTTGACTAAAGGAGAAAAAGAGGGCCATGTACTTTCATTCAGCACCTGGCAAGGGCACTGTGGAGCTGGTGGTTTATTATAGAGTTTAAAGTCAAAGCCAAGGGCCAGGAATTCCGTCCCCATTTAGGAGCTGGTAGTCAGAATTCTTGAAGCCCTTTTATGGTCTACCTGGCAACTCTTGTATCAAGAAGTGCCTTAAGGTAGATTTACAGGGAAAGTGTCCTCAGGAAAGTGCCCTGTTTATGTGTTTATCCTGCCCCCACCCCCATCCCTGGGGACCATCCCAGGGATTATCCCAGGTGTCCCCTTTTGGGTTCTGCCTGTTCCCAATCTTATCCCGTTCCAGAAACAACCAGAAGCCACCCTCCTGTGGATGTAGGGTCCCTTCCCAGTCTGGGCAGACTTGCCTTCATAGGGGCTGGTCCCTACAGCCTTGCAACCTCCCCCAAGGCCAAGTTCAGACCCTCTCCCTGGGCAGCTGTGTGGAGAGGGAGTACGGAGCCCTGGCATCTAATCTGTGCACCTGGCACATTCATCTCTTCCCTCAGTCAAAGAAAGTCGAGTGTACAGAACACAACAGCCCAGGGCTGGCCACCACAGTGCCCCTCCGCCTTTCTCTGCTGCATGCATTGCGTTCAAATGCCAAATAGAGATCAGAAGCTTCCCATTCTGATCGGAATGCTCCATGGTCACTATGTGACTTAATTTACTCTCTCGATGTGCTAGACAGATGAAGAATGCATACTGGTGTTTTCAAAGGTATTTTTATGTGTTTTTAAAAACTTTTTAAAACGAGCCTGATACCTGTGTTTCAGCATTTGGAGACATACCCATGTTATTTTTTTAAATGTATGATAACTGATACATTTTCGTTTATTTAACTAAGTTGTGCATAATTTATGTGCAGTCTTTATATGTATGTATTACAATTCCAACTATCATATTTTCTTTTATTAGATTTATGATTTGATCTTGCTCTCAGTATAATGCCAGTGAATGTTGCTGAATTCTTTGTATATGCAAATTGCAAGATCTAAAACATTCGGATGCGAGGATAAACCATTACTTTGACTACCAGCCTCTGTCTCTTTCTTCACATTTCTTAATTTTATTTCTGTGCCTTAAGTCCTCATAGACAAGACATGCATTAGGGGCTGGGTGTAGCTCAGTGGTGGAGCACTTGCATAGCGTACATGAGGATCCAGGTCAATCCCCAGTGCCCCACACACGTGCACACCAAGTGCCCTACATCAGGAAGTGGGAACTAATTTACATATAATGATTTCAAAACTTTAGCTCTGACCCAGCACAGCCCCTAAAGGTGAGTGAGTGGGCACTGTGGCCAGAGGCTGCCAGCTCTCAGCTACCTGCAACGGTGTGTGATAGCGAGGACTTTAAAGGCTCAGGTCAACCAAGGACACAGCACCCAGCACTGCTCCTCTGAAGGGCCTTGTGTCTTGTGCTGGGCACAGCCCCACTCCTCTGTGGCAGCACAACTGCCCCTGCCCTGTGGAGCTTTCCAGACGCCCTTCCCAGCCCCATTCTGCAGCCTCCTTTGAGAATAACCTGTCACCATCACAGCTTCTCTTGGCAGCCAATGTAGAATTGACCATGAGGGGTCCAGCCAGCCGCTCCAGGCTCCTGCCTTCATTTAGCACCTGTAGAATGTGCACCTGGCTCCACACCAGACACAGGGTGATGGGACAGGCACCACCCTTCATGGGCACATCCCACCATGTGGCTCCATATCCAGTCTGCTGCCACCCTCACACCTGGCAAGGGCAGGTAGGTGGTTGGACAGGGTGCAGACAGCTATCTGGGGGACAGTGTGCTATTTTCTGATTCAGAAAACAGAAAGGGAACAGAATATAAGGTAGAAATAGGAAGATATATGCAAGTTGTCTACAGGTCTAAAATTGAGATATCTGGGCTTAAAACGAGATTCAGGAAACGTGTGCTCACAAGAAACAGATAGGGAATAATGTGTGAAGGAATTTCATGCTCCCTCCTAGATGGATTCTCCTCTAAGGGAGTTTGTATTACCTCTTCTGCCAGGTGATGTCAGGCAGGTGCACTCAGGAAAAAAGTCTGACATGGGAGCAGAACCCAGGAAGGATGTAGTTTGGAAAGGAGTGGCACACAAGCTGATGGCCCCAAAAATGCTGTGGCAGACACTGTCTCAGACAACAGCAGCCCTGGGCAGACTCAGATTCAGTGGAAAAGCAAACCCCTGATCATTCCCTAAACAGTGACCCCATGACTCCAAAGACAGGATCCCCAACCACCCCCCATTGGCTCCATTACCCTAAAGGGCAAGGACACCAAACATGACCCATAGCCTAATTAATGTCGGCCCAGAATGCTCCCTATGGTAGACTCTTGTAAATTCCACTGGTCTAATCACTCAGGCATTGCTGATTAACTGATGACTGCTTAGTGCTGGGTTCCCAAGAAGTTCTTACCTTTCAAACTATATGCAGGACACAGACTCTCACATGACCAAAGAGGATACACTATGACACAAGCCACAGAGAAACCAAAACTGACATCAGGATCAGGGCTTTATTCTGCAATATGGAGCAAACATGCTTTGTCCACCTGCCCCAGACATGAATCGTTACTACTCAGGAACTGGCCGGCAATGCCCCTTGTGGACCCCTTGCAGGGTTATAAAGACAAACCAGAGCCTGAAAATTCTTTCTTCTCTTAAACACACCCATATTATTATTTACACAATTCATTTTTATACTGGTATAAAAAAAATATATACTAAAAATTTAACACTAAACTAACTTTATTATATTTTTTCCCTCTTAAATTTACTTGCTAAATATCTTCCCTGTGCCGGTGACTTCTGCTCCTTAGTTTTTTGGTGTCCACTGTGTCCTTATCCTGTGTAAAGAAAATAAAACAGTTCTTAAGTACTTTAAAATAATGATTTTTGTAATGAAACCTGCTCTAAAAAATATGCAAATTATTATTAGAATTTGTGCAGGTCCTTAGTTCAAAAAAATTTATTGTGAGGTTAGAGGTTTGTTTTCAGATAAATCACCTTAAAAGTATCATTTAGAAAACATAAATTCAACCTGGATTAAAAATCCGAATCTCCTAAACCAAAAGCACACCACCCCAGGGGACAATCTCGGGACAGAGTGTGACCTGAGCAGTCCTGCAGTGAGTCTCCTCCAGAAGGGCGGGGAGACGGAGCATCACTTTTAAGCAGATCAACTCTAAAGGCACAAAGATGACTACAGCTGTTCAGACAGAACCTCAGCCCTGGGGTCTGCATGCTGCTGAACACAGACTACTCCCCAAACCCACAAGGAAGAGCAAGTGTGATGTAGACATTCCTGAGAAGCAGCACTATGACAAAATCACACAGTAGTGAAACAAGCCTAGAATTCAAGACACAAAGCTTGGTGTGAGTGAAAGATCTAGATGTACTCATTTGTCCAGTTCTAGAACCTGTAGTCAAAAGGCAGGGAGCACTAAGGGCCCAGCACCATGATAGCAGAGGGTGGGTACATGGTGGTTGAGTCCCGCTCTTCCAGCAAATAGGTAGGGACGGACCCCATCACGTGTCTTAGATGTCCACAGGCCACCTCACCCACTTGCAGCTGTTCCTTCAGGACTCTAGGGTGAAAGGGACACTAAACAAGACCCCAGGTGAATGCAGGTCAGAGTTTTGACCACTACTCCAGCTCACAACAAATGAAATTCCTGCCTCTCCAGGTCACACAACCTTTCTCAGACCAGTGAAGTCACACATCCATGCTGAGCTGTGGCCACAGCCCTGGTCTCCAGAGTCCCCTCCTGGCCCCTCCTGGTGGTCCTTCCTCAGCCTCAACATCACTTACCACATGAGACCATCTTTGCTTCTCTCATCAATGCCAGGACGTGCCCCCCCCCCGCCCCCCGGTCAACTTTCCACCAGCCCTTGGTTCCTGCCTGCGTCCCCTAAGGGGGAAGGAACACAGAAAACGTGACCAAGTTGGGAACTTGTACCTGGAGCAACCTACTTCTTACAGAAGCAGTCTGGGCCTCTGGACAGCCAGAGCTGGAGCCCATGGTGGGCGCTGGTGAGAAACCCTGCAGAAGCCCATCACGGTGTGTTGGGAGTCTTCGTGGCTGCTGGTGGGCCACAAGGAAGAGGCCAGAGTGTCCCTGACAGAACTGCCAGGCCTGGCTCTCCCTTGGGCCAGGCTGCTGTGGGGTTAGGATCATCCCAGGGAGAACAGCGGTGGCTTTCACTCCTCAGCTCCACTCTGATGAAGCACAACCTTCCACACTAGAGCGTGTACGTGTTTGCAGCCCGACCTTTTGGGTAAAATTGGCGCCGAGGGCCTCTGTTAAGCTCGTGGGGCTACTGAGGCCTGCAGGACCATGTCTTGCCACCATCAGGTGGCTTCTGCTTCCGGCCAGCCCCTGGCACAGCTTCTGACTTACAACCTTTTCCTGGACATCACTCTCTCCTGAGCCTCTCCTCCTCCCTCTCTGGAACCTTCTATCAATACCCCCACTAGGGCTTCCTGCCACCACCAGAGGCAGGAGTCTTCCTACCCAGCTCACTGATGATCTTGGGGCATCTGGGAGTCTGACTGTATCATCCTTGGTGGTATCAGCTCAAGCTTCCTGGCTTGTCCAAGGGTGTGCCAGTCGGACACCTGCACCTGACATATCAAGGTGGCCACTGCTACCTTCTGTCACTGACTGATCTCAGGATAGGCCAGTGTTAGGTCCAGATTGTGTGTGCTGAGAGCAACTCTGAGGCCACTCACACACACACACCCCTCCTGTCCACCCTGCCCTTTTTCGTATCTATTCATTTTACCTTTGGGCGGAGGGTTGGAGGACAGGTCTCCCTGGCCTGGAGCTCTCAATCCTCCTGCCTCAGCCTCCACAGCAGCTGGGACCACAGGCCTCCAGCTCAATCAAGGATTCTCCAGAAGAACACTCATGAGTTTAATGATACACTGTGGGTTATTCAAATTAGAAGTAGCTCCAGTAGGTAGGACAGATATTGTCCTAACTCTCCTGGGAGAGTTTTATGGACTTCTTTTCCTGGGGAAGGGGAATGTCACACCCACTCCCCTGCATGGAACTTAACACAGTGCTAGTTGCCTTCTGGACCCCCCAGCCTTTGTTTGTTCAGTGTTTCCAAACAAGGGTCCAGACAGGACCAGCTTTCCTCAGCAAGTTTTGCAGAACCCAGGAGAGACTGAAGACATTCCCTACCATCTGAGTGAGAGCTATGTCACAAGCAGTCACACAGTGGGATGACCTGGTACATTCCCAGCCCATCCTGAATGAAGCCTTCCATGACCTGCATTCACTATTGGAAGTGGAATTCCCAAAGAAAATACAACTCAGGACAAACTGTGTGACCTAGATTAGTACTTCTAAAGTTTTAATGGTCAGCTGGTAACATGATGTTATGTATATGCTTCTCTTTGGCCTTTGCAACACTGCATAAACACACCCATTCTCTGTGTATGTATATAATTAGTTACCTTTAGGTTTTCTGCACATCTCTTGGCACCTCGATTGACTCTCTGCTCAGATTCACTCTCCAGACTAGGCTGCATGCCTGGTTTTCTGGACCTCAGACACCTGAAGTCTGAATTTGCAGTTGCTCCTTTCTCTTCCTGGTTCTTCATGGGGACTGCCACGCTTCTCTCCCTCACTTCCTCCTCTGCTGTGTGAGGCTGGGAAATTTGATTCCGAATTCCAGCTCTCAAGCACGCTCTCTTTCCCCTGACTTTGGCCCTGGACTCTGCTTTCTCGTCTCCATCACCTGGGCTCTGCAGCCCCACCTCCTGGGAGAGTTCCATGGGCTTCTTCCCCTGTCTCTTTATTTTCATCTTTTCTGCTGATACAGTGATCTCTGGTCTTGGCTCTTCTCCTTCAGTTGTATTTTGGTGTCTGGTTCGCAGCAAAATTCCCTAAAGAAATGAAAAACCGTAAAACAAAATTTTGAAACTTAGTAAAACAAATCTTAAAATTTAACAGAAAAAAATTTTCAAAAGGAAACTGACATAAAAAATAAATCATTTGCATATTTCTCATTTTCTTATTTCTTTTTTAAAAATATTTTTTAGTTGTCAATGGACATTTATTCTTTATTTATTTATATGCAGGGCTGAAAATCGAACCCAGTGACTCACACATGCTAGGTAAGCTGAGCCACAACCCCCGCCCCTCAATTCCCAATTTCTAAGACACTAGTTATCTAGGATATTCAAGCTAATGCTTTGCAACTTTGTTCCTATAGAAATGATCCCTACTGATAAATTACAAATTAGAAATTCAGAATAAACTTCAATCACATTGCCTAATATAACGTGCCACATTTAAATGCTACTGCTTACATCACAGAGTTGGCAAGTGAATTGCTATTTCTTAATGGTCACACTAAAGCACAGGGCAATTCAGCATTCCTGGGGGATGGCTGCGTGGCAATCTTACAGTTCCTCTTCTCAAGGGTACACATGCAGTATAATATTCTCCTCGTTGTTAAAATACTGTCACACACTCTCCTTGAACCCTGCCCTGCCCTTGCGGGTATTTTAAACATGGAACGGAATTATCCACCTGTTTTATCATCAATTTCTCAAACTGAATATGAATACGTCATGCACTCCCTGAAAAACCGCTAAGGTTGAGTCATCATTTTGATTGGTACTTTTCAAACTCAGAATTAGCCTGTTCCCTCCATGTATCCCCCCAAAGACCCTTGTCTTCACCCTATAATAGTTATTAATCGTGTTTGGTAGACACCCCTGCGGTAGAGATATCTGCCCACTACTACACAAGAAGGAGCTGGCCCCAGACGACCCGGGGAATACTTAACACTGCCATTACCTTATCCGCAGACGCCGAGTCTTCTGCTTTGAGTTTCCTCTTTCCAGCTTCCCTGCTGGAGTTGTGATCTTCTACAGGTTCAATTCTGTTTATTAAAATTTTTAGATCCTTATTGATTATCAAGGGCTCAGGAGATCTGCCTCTCTCCCTGGGAGCGGCCCTCTTTTTCCCGTGGACTGCCTTGGCCTGCACAGTATCCTGCAGCCCAGTCTCTGAGCACCGCACCCCGACTCCTGAGAGAAGCCCATCTGTTCCAGATTTACCCATGGGCAGGGACATGTTGCTTCTGCTCTGCGGTGCTGCCGAGTGTCCTTTGCCCTCTTGGTCTTCCACTGGCTTTCCTTTAGGGGCCCTAAGGACTCTTGAGCTCGTCAGCAGAGGCTTGGCTCTTTCAGCTGTTTGCTCTGGAGTGCTCTTCCGACTATGAGCATCATGTTGCGGTCCCTCAGAGGGACCTGGTGCTGGGATGGGATCTTTGGAACCAGCCAGGTCCTCCGGGGGCTGGCCCTCAGCTGCCCCTCGCAGCCGCCTGATGCCAGTTGCTCTTGCTGCTGGGGCCCGGGCCTGCTGTGCAGACCCCTCGGAAGCTCTGCTGCCTTGGTCCTCACCTCCTGGGGCCGTGCGCGTGTGCCTGGTGGCCCGTGATGTCCGCGTTGGCTTCCTCACTGCCGGGGGCTCCTCTTTCACCTCTGCTGTCCGGAGCCGTGTCCTGGGCAGTGCCTTTGTGCTTGCTGGCGTGTGCCCTGGTTCTGGTTGTGGAGATCTGCAGGGCGATTCTGTGGTCTTCTCGTCCCTTGTGGATCCCTCAGAGGGACCTGGTGCTGGGATAGGATCTTTGGAACCAGCCAGGTCCTCCGGGGGCTGGCCCTCAGCTGCCCCTCGCAGCCGCCTGATGCCAGTTGCTCTTGCTGCTGGGGCCCTGGCCTGCTGTGCAGACCCCTCAGAAGCTCTGCTGCCTTGGTCCTCACCTCCTGGGGCCGTGCGCGTGTGCCTGGTGGCCCGTGATGTCCGCGCTGGCTTCCTCACTGCCGGGGGCTCCTCTTTCACCTCTGCTGTCCGGAGCCGTGTCCTGGGCAGTCCCTTTGTGCTTGCTGGCGTGTGCCCTGGTTCTGGTTGTGGAGATTTGCAGGGTGATTCTGTGGTCTTTTCGTCCCTTGTGGGTTGCTCAGAGGGGCCTGGTGCTTGGATCAGTTCTTTGGAACCAGCCAGGTCCTCCGGGGGCTGGCCCTCAGCTGCCCCTCGCAGCCGCCTGATGCCAGTTGCTCTTGCTGCTGGGGCCCGGGCCTGCTGTGCAGACCCCTCGGAAGCTCTGCTGCCTTGGTCCTCACCTCCTGGGGCCGTGCGCGTGTGCCTGGTGGCCCGTGATGTCCGCGCTGGCTTCCTCACTGCCGGGGGCTCCTCTTTCACCTCTGCTGTCCGGAGCCGTGTCCTGGGCAGTCCCTTTGTGCTTGCTGGCGTGTGCCCTGGTTCTGGTTGTGGAGATCTGCAGGGCGATTCTGTGGTCTTCTCGTCCCTTGTGGGTTCCTCAGAGGGGCCTGGTGCTGGGATAGGATCTTTGGAGCCAGCCAGGTCCTCCGGGGGCTGGGCCTCTCCCTCAGCTGCCCCTCGGCGCCTCTTCCTGCCACTCGTACCTGCAGCAGGATCCAGTTTCCTCTTTACAGGTTCTTTGAGCACTTTGATATTTTTACTATCACCTTTGGGTTCTGGGTGTGTGTGTACGGGTCCCCCTGAGGTCCCTGCTACCTCTCCCTGCACTGAGATCTCCTCTGTCACAGGTGCTTTCCTGAGCCCTGCCCTGGGCTGTCTCTTTGGGGGTGCTGGGGCTGCCACTGGCTCTGCTTCTGGGGATTCACAGGGTATTTTCGTGGTTTTTCCTTCCCCTGCCAATCCCTCGGTGGGGCCTGGTGCTGGGATCGGTTCTTTGGAGCCAGCCAGGTCTTCCAGGGGCTGGGCCTCAGGTGCCCCTCGCAGCCGCCTGATGCCAGTTGCTCTTGCTGCTGGGGCCCTGGCCTGCTGTGCAGACCCCTCAGAAGCTCTGCTGCCTTGGTCCTCACCTCCTGGGGCCGTGCGCGTGTGCCTGGTGGCCCGTGATGTCCGCGCTGGCTTCCTCACTGCCGGGGGCTCCTCTTTCACCTCTGCTGTCCGGAGCCGAGTCCTGGGCAGTCCCTTTGTGCTTGCTGGCGTGTGCCCTGGTTCTGGTTGTGGAGATCTGCAGGGCGATTCTGTGGTCTTCTCGTCCCTTGTGGGTTCCTCAGAGGGGCCTGGTGCTGGGATTGGATCTTTGGAGCCAGCCAGGTCCTCCGGGGGCTGGGCCTCTCCCTCAGCTGCCCCTCGGCGCCTCTTCCTGCCAGTTACTTTTTCTGTTGTGTCCAGTTTCCGCTTTACAGGTTTCTTGACCATTTTAACACTTTTATCATCACCTGTAGATTCTGCCTCGGTGTGTGCAGCATCCCCTAAGATTTGCTTTGGTTTTATCACTGGTGAGAGCTCTTCCTTCTCCTCCACTTTCTGCAGACTTGTCCTTGGCCGTCTCTTTGAGGATGTCAGAGTATCCCTGGGTTCTAGTTCTACAGATTTGCAAGGTGCATCTGTGGTTTCTCCAGGAGTCTTCAGGTCCTTGCCACGGCCTGGTGTTTGGAAGAGCTCCTGGAAGCCAGCCAGGTCCTCCAGGGGCTGGGCCTTTTCCTTAGGGGTGCGTCGTTGTCTTTTCAGTCCACTTAGGTTGTCAGTCAGGTCCAGTTTCTGCCTTGGAGTCCCAAGAGCTCTGGCACCTTTCTCCTCCTGCACGGGTCCTGTGGGTGTGTGCATGGCTCTGCCTGGTGACTGTGAGAGCTCTTCCTGCTCCTCCAGTTTCCCCACACCTGCCTTAGACCTTCTCTTTGTGCTTGCTGTTGCTCTGACACCTTCTGACCCTGTAGATTTGCAAGGTGCATCTGTGGTTTCTCCAGGAGTCTTTGGGTCCTTGTCCCACCCTGGTGTTTGGAAGAGCTCCTGGAAGCCAGCCAGGTCCTCCAGGGGCTGGGCCTTTTCCTTAGGGGTGCGTCGTTGTCTTTTCAGTCCACTTAGGTTGTCAGTCAGGTCCAGTTTCTGCCTTGGAGTTCCAAGTGCTCTGACGCCTTTCTCCTCCTGCACGGGTCCTGTGGGTGTGTGCATGGCTCTGCCTGGTGACTGTGACAGTTTGCTGAGTACTGAGAGCTCTTCCTGCTCCTCCAGTTTCCCCACACCTGCCTTAGACCTTCTCTTTGTGCTTGCTGTTGCTCTGACACCTTCTGACCCTGCAGTTTTGCAAAGCGCATCTGTCCTTTCTCCAGGAGTCTTTGGGTCCTTGTCCCACCCTGGTGTTTGGAAGAGCTCCTGGAAGCCAGCCAGGTCCTCCAGGGGCTGGGCCTTTTCCTTAGGGGTGCGTCGTTGTCTTTTCAGTCCACTTAGGTTGTCAGTCAGGTCCAGTTTCTGCCTTGGAGTTCCAAGTGCTCTGACGCCTTTCTCCTCCTGTACTGGTCCTGTGCGTGTGTGCATGGCTCTGCCTGGTGACTGTGACACTTTCCTAAGTGCTGGGAGTGCTTCCTTCTCCTCCACTTTCTGCAGACTTGTCCTTGGCCGTCTCTTGGAGGGGGTTGGAGTATCCCTGGGTTCTGGTCCTGTAGATTTGCAAGGTACATCTGTGGTTTCTCCAGTAGTCTTCGGGTCCTTGCCACGGCCAGGTGTTTGGAAAAGTTCTTGGAAGCCAGCCAGGTCCTCCAGGGGCTGGGCCTTTTCCCTGGGTGCCCTTGGCTGCCGCCTGCTCCCTGTTACCTTTGCTGCTGGGCGCAGGGCCTGCTGTGCAGGTTCCTCCAAAGCTCTGATGGCTTTATCATCACCTTCCGGCCCTCTGGGTGTGTGCGGGGCTTCCTGTGACATTTGTGTGAGCTCCCTCCGCACAGAGGTCTCCTCTTTCACCTCCACTTTCTCCACACTTGTCTTAGACCGTCTTCTTGTGCTTGCTGGTGCCCTGACTAGTTCCAGTCCTGTAGATTTGCAAGGTGCATCTGTGGTTTCTCCAGGAGTCTTTGGGTCCTTGTCCCACCCTGGTGTTTGGAAGAGCTCCTGGAAGCCAGCCAGGTCCTCCAGGGGCTGGGCCTTTTCCTTAGGGGTGCGTCGTCGTCTTTTCAGTCCACTTAGGTTGTCAGTCAGGTCCAGTTTCTGCCTTGGAGTTCCAAGTGCTCTGACGCCTTTCTCCTCCTGCACGGGTCCTGTGGGTGTGTGCATGGCTCTGCCTGGTGACTGTGATAGTTTGCTGAGTACTGAGAGCTCTTCCTTCTCCTCTACTTTCTGCAGTCTTGTCCTTGGCCATCCCTTGGAGGGGGTTGGAGTACCCCTGGGTTCTGGTCCTGTAGATTTGCAAGGTACATCTGTGGTTTCTCCAGTAGTCTTCGGGTCCTTGCCACGGCCAGGTGTTTGGAAAAGTTCTTGGAAGCCAGCCAGATCCTCCAGGGGCTGGGCCTTTTCCCTGGGTGCCCTTGGCTGCCGCCTGCTCCCTGTTACCTTTGCTGCTGGGCGCAGGGCCTGCTGTGCAGGTTCCTCCAAAGCTCTGATGGCTTTATCATCACCTTCCGGCCCTCTGGGTGTGTGCGGGGCTTCCTGTGACATTTGTGTGAGCTCCCTCCGCACAGAGGTCTCCTCTTTCACCTCCACTTTCCCCACACTTGTCTTAGACCGTCTTCTTGTGCTTGCTGGTGCCCTGACTAGTTCCAGTCCTGTAGATTTGCAAAGGACATCTGTCCTTTCTCCAGGAGTCTTTGGGTCCTTGTCCCACCCTGGTGTTTGGAAGAGCTCCTGGAAGCCAGCCAGGTCCTCCAGGGGCTGGGCCTTTTCCTTAGGGGTGCGTCGTCGTCTTTTCAGTCCACTTAGGTTGTCAGTCAGGTCCAGTTTCTGCCTTGGAGTTCCAAGTGCTCTGACGCCTTTCTCCTCCTGCACGGGTCCCGCGGGTGTGTGCATGGCTCTGCCTGGTGACTGTGACAGTTTGCTGAGTACTGAAAGCTCTTCCTTCTCCACTTTCTGCAGACTTGTGCTTGGCCGTCTCTTAGAGGGTGTTAGAGTACCTCTGGGTTCTGGTCCTGTAGATTTGCAAGGTGCATCTGTGGTTTCTCCAGTAGTCTTCAGGTGCTTGCCACGGCCTGGTGTTTGGAAAAGTTCTTGGAAGCCAGCTAGGTCCTCCAGGGGCTGGGTCTTTTCCCTGGGTGTCCCTGGCTGCCGCCTGCTGGCTGTAACGTTTGCTACTGGACAGAGGGCCTGCTGTGCAGAGTCCTCCAGAGCTCTGACTGCACTGCCACCCGCTCCTGACGCTCTGCCTGTGTGCCTGGCTTCCCTGGGGGTGTCTCTGAGCCTCTCTGGTGCAGGGCACTCTTGTTTCACATCTACTCTTCCTTGCAGCGTGTTGACTTGTGTTTTTGTGCTGGTTGAGGTTCCCACAGGTCCTGGTTCGGGGAATTTGACTAGCAATCTTTTTTTATCGACTGCCATAGACTCTTCAATATGTTTTGGGGTTTGGAATAGTTCTTTGAAGCCAGCCAGGTCTTCTAGGGGTTGGGTCTTTTTCTTAGGAGTTCGTGGCCCCCTCTTCATTCCAGTTCCATACACCACTGAGTCCTTCTTCTGCTCTGGAGTTCCCTTCAACACCCCAGTGCTTTCCTCATCTCCTCCTGGCGCTGCGTGTGAGTGTGTGGCTGCCATTGGCAGGTGGGCGCGCTTCCTCAGTGCAGAGGCCTCCTCCTGCACATCCACCTTTCCCAGAGATCTCTTGCGCTGTCTCTTCCCACTTGCGGTGGGAGTTGCTGGACTGGGCAGAGGAGTTCCACAGGGCAGTTTAGTGGCTTCCTTTTCCTCGTTCACTGTTTCCTTGGTGCACCCTGGTGTTCGGGGCAGCCGCTGGCTACCTGACGGGTCTTCCCAGGGTCCTACGTTGAGTGTCTTCTCCGGGTCTGTGAGGCTGGCTGTGGGTTCACTCTTCAGGCCCCCAGTTCTCGATCTCCTTCCATCTGTCACCCTGCCACCCTTTCCTTCTGACTGGGCACTTTCCTCTCGGCCCCCCTCCTGTCCTCCCCAGGGCGTCTCCCTCAGGCGTCTTCCAGGGAGGGCCCCGGCAGCGTCTGCTCCTGCTTTGGTCTTGCTCTCCACAGGGGACACCTCTGCATTTCTGAGCTCCACGGATCTTCTGAGCTTGTTGGCACTGGATACCGTCTTCAGAGGCTCTGGTGAAAACTCTGGAGTTCTCATCTCAAAATGAGTCATTGTACCGATGTTCCTGGGAGTTTTCTCTGTGTTTTCAACTTTTCTAATACTCTGCCGTCTTAAGGATGGGCTTGCAAAACACGTCTCAGATGGTTCTTCTGCTGTTTTCTGTGTACTGGAGAGCACATTTGATCCTATAATAAAAGTATATTAGCTATTATATTTATTGTTTTAAATCAACTTAGTATTTTATTCTCAAGAAATATAGTGTCTGAGCCAACAACCCAGCTTCCTCTCAACATTCTAGGAATGTGAGGCTGCTAATATGGACATAAATCTGTCTTATCAGTGAGCCATGTACCCTTAAGTGTAATGTCACTGGTGATAAAGTGGGGCCATCATTAAGTGGTAGTTAGGGTTTGTAGTGATTACTTGGGGAAAAGTGCCTTATGATGGGTCTTCTGAAGGCTGCCATGCCAGGGCCACAGACCTGAATATAGGCAATTATATTTTTTCAGATATCAGAAACAGCTATTTCTTGTCTTAAACCATTAATGAAGTTAATTAACAAGACTTCTACCCTGTATGCTTGGGGTCCATATTATGCAGGAAACATCTACATTTCAACACCAGCGACATTCTGAAGGGTAGCAAGCTGCTCCCTCCGTAGCAGGGATGCAATGACTAGCACCAAAGGAAAGGGGGAGACAGACTGATGCCTCCTGTCTCATTCTCCTGGGGCTCCTCTCACCCACACAATTAGGAAGGATAATTAGTACACAAATCACTATCTTTCTCCTCTATAATCCCAATTATTCTGAATATGAGTAATTCATAAGTATGAGAGCAAATATTCTTTTCTGCCTTATCATTCTCTTATAATACATAAAGAAGCTAAAAGTGTGTGAGAACCCTTGAACTTATTAGCTATTTCTATCTACGTGGTAAATGGATGCAGTGGTAGTTCACAGCCAACAGGAATCTCTGCTTGAACAGAGCAGAGAAGGCAGAAAGGGTATTTCATCAGGGGCCTCTGCTGTGAAGTAACACTAGAGCGTCTGAAAGTTTAGAAATTAAGCCATCTGTAAGTTCCCAATGCATGACAGTCTAGGAGGAAAGCCAACCAACCCGAAATCTCCAAAGTGAGGGGCAGAAGTTTTCCTCCTGAGTTAGTTACTTGAGGCTTTTTTCCAAGCAATTTCTCTGAACTGGAAAGAGTGCTGGGAGATGTGGTTGTCCTTTGTGTCATCTCCTTCACTGGGGTCTTGAACATTTCAGTGAGCCCTGGTAAGTGAAAACATTTTAAACTTATTACTTATGTACAATTAGCTACCCCAGTTCTCATACAAAACAGACTAAATGATAGGAGGCAAACTCCTAAGTCCCAGGACTCCTAGGACTCAGGGTCTCATTAGCTATTAATAATGTGCTCATTTTAAGAAGAAGTCAATGAGAAAACAGGTGGATACAGCTTCTCCTCTACCTCTTTCTGACAGGAAAGGAAATCAAATGAGGTATTTGTCCTCTATGGTCTTCCAAACTAGTCTGCAAACAAAAGTGCCGGCAGGACAGAAACTGGTGGTGGGCATGTTCCCTCAGGGTCTCCCCCGAGGCATCCAGGTCCCAAGGGCCTGCTGCTTCCCCAAAAGTTCTGGTTCCTCCAAGATTTTGCATACAAACAATATCTCCCTCACCTTTTAGAAAGTGACAGGATGCTGCCCATTTTTAGTTTGGACAAGTCATGGTATGTATTTTTAAAAATCCAAATAGCATTGCATCCCATTTTAACACCAAAAAAGCAGTAGTGACATCTCAGAAAAAGAAAGTATACAGTATCTCATGTGTGAGATTGCACTCCTCTTCTCCCTGGGCTGGAGCCACGGAGAGGGAACCCGTATTCCTGGGCCAGCACTCTCTGCAGGACAGTCTGGGAAGCCAGCTGAGGCTCCCAACTGACCCAGTCCTTCACAGAGGTCTCCTTCCTCTCAGCCCTCCAGGCCTTCCCCAAAGCACCCAGGGCCTAGGTCCAGCAGTTACTGTTTCTAAGTGGACAGCAACACCCAGGGGTGAAACTGCAGGACTCCTAGAAGGGTCTTGAAGGAAGAAGTGCTTGGGACAACCCAGTGTCCTAGGCACAGAGTATTTAAGATCTCATTTTTATCTTAAAAGGGGCCGTGGGGTGGGGGTGGGGGGTCCTATTAAAATAAAAGGCAATGGGCAAATCTGACCCAGCTCTCCTATGCAAGTCTATGGGCATTCCACAGAGCAGCTCACCTTCAACAATACCCGCAAGATACCAAAACCCAGCTGAAAGTGAATAAAGATCAGTAGAGAAGGGGGTAGGGACCAGGAGAGGGAGGATAGGAGGGAAAGGACAAGTACTGGGGACTGAAATGGAGCAAACTTATGTTCCATGTTTTTATAATTATGCTAAATCAAATCCTAGTGTTATGCATAACTAAAAAACAAAAAATTTTCAAATTATAGGTTGATATATAAAAAGAAGTACTTTTGAGCTGTTAAAAATGTACATCAGTATCCTATACATATTCACAGTTTACAAGTATACATATATACATTCACCTACTGTTTTTGTTTTGCTCTTTTTAAAGATAAATGAATTGATCCAAGTATTACTCTTATTAATGTACTTTGCATACTGAGCAGTACAATGACTTTCAATTCCCAAAATAAGGTTGTACCCAGTCAATTCAAAACTCAACTCCCTCCTGAGCTGCACAGTGGAAACCACTCATATACCATGTAATATGGAACCTAAAATCTGCTTCCTCGCCATAGCTGTGATCTCTAAGCAAGTCAGCTCACACCTTCACTAAGAATGTGAACAGTGTGGAAGCATCTGCTCAATTAATGGTCTAAAGACCCTCCTTGTAGGTTCTCCTAGAGCCTTTCTTTCAAGATACAGTTAAGTTTCAAAGAAAGAAAGCTTTGCTTGAAGAAGCAAAGCACTGCTCAAAAACACCTGTTCCAGCTCCGCCAGGAGCAGCCACAACAACTGCACAGCAAAGGGAACTAAGAAAAGGTGGCCTTCTCCCCCCAAAGCACTTTCAGTTCCCTGCTCCAATGCTGCTGTCCGGGAAAAGGCATGCAAAGCACCTGCCATGTTCAGAGGTGCTTTCTGGAGGACACAGGATCCCAATGTGCAGACATGGCCTTGTACTCCCCACCAGCTTCCCGTCATTGACGTCTCTGACCCTGGCCAGCTGCCTCAGTTGTTGCTCTATGATGGCACGCACAGCAGATGAGCAAAGGTGGCAAACAGCATCAGAGTCACAGTCAGGACACCAAGAGTTACGATCACAGGAACTCTGGCTACTTTACCTGAAAGGTCTTCATTATAGTCCATTTTCTGACTGAAGACCAAGTTGTTCAGCATCCTGTAGGGCCGAGCAGGTGCGGTCACTTTTTCAATCTGAGCCTTCCCTATTATTATGGTACAAGGAGAGTTTGCATGGCCCGTGCTAAACTGATGGTGAACGGGGCCTGTGGGCTTCTGTGGAAGGAGGTGAGAGGGACAAAAGAGCAGAGCATGAGCAACACTTCAGGCGCCCTGAGCAGCAGCAGATGTGCATAGGCCACCCACAGGAATCTCCTACCTTGGGAGTGTTGGGTCTTCTCTGTCTTCTGTGCACCTGCCTCTGGGGGCCATGCTTCACAACTTTTGTTTGTGTTTGCTTTGCACCGAGTTTAACTACATCTGCCCATGATTTTGCAACTGTCAGAAAAAAGATGGTGAAACTTAAACAAAAACTGGGACTAATTAATGAGGAAAAATGACCTTAAAACACATTCTCCAACCCAACACTAACCAATGAGGTTGGCCTCAGAAGCACCGCTTCTCCTTTTGGAACAAATCATCTGCAAAATGCCGTGTTGGCTTCGGCTAATAGAAGTCCTCTTTGAAGACAGTTGGCCACTCTTCCTCCCCGCTTTCTTGGGAGTGTCTTGAGGGGACTTGTTGCCACCAGAGGCAGCCGAGGCCTTGCCTGATCGGCATCTCTGATCACCTGGCCCTGCTGCAGTTATTCTGGGACTAGCAGCTGGGGACCCTGTAGACACACTCTGTGCTTTCACTTCCCAGCGGACTCCTGAAGACTCTGTTCCTGGTGACACAGGCTGTTCCTGATGGGAAGAAATGGTCATGAGAAACTTTCCCCCAAACATAACATCTCTGTAAGGCCTGCCAAAATGTTTTCAATGAAGAATTTAAGCTGTTAAAATCTCAAAGCACCCAATGTTTAAAGCATTGTCTTAGAAGGTTAAGGCAGAGCTGAGTTTGTCCCATTCACTGAGGGAAAGAAAATGGAGACAAAGCAGAAATCCAGTCGGACTTGAGGCATTCCCAGAGGAAAGATGGAGGGACAGCCTGCTGAGTGAGATGACCCAGCTCCGAGCTCTGTCCTGGCCCAGCCGCTGCAGGTGTCTGGTCATGAGACTGCCCACTGCGAGCCAGGGTAAAACAGGAAGGAGAGAGGTGGGCCTTCCCACTTCTTGTTACTAAGAGAAAGTAAAGCCGGACAGTCCTGGCTACAGTGAGCCACGCAGTCCCACTCCCCAGGGGCTGAAGACAGGGAGGGAAGCAGAGCACCAGTGACAAAAATGCCTACAAAGCTGACTGTGCAAAAGAGACAGATTTACCAAAGATTTTCCTCCTTCCCAGTCAAATGCCCTGACTTTACCTTCAACCCTGAAGAAAATGAAATGATCCTGTGGCTATGAGTCAATGAATCCAGAATCTTTTTAACTGGACATCTGTAGTGTGACCCAGGTGGGTCTGTGGCACAGGTGTATATAGGCACAGGTGTCAGGGGTCTTGAGCTCCAAAAGTAAAAGTGTCACACACACCCAACCCACTGAGCCACCTTACAGCCAACTGGGAGCTGATGTCTACCTTCCCAGACCAAATAAGATAAGTGACTGAGTGCCGTAAAAGCTTATTGATTAGAAGACTGCAGATCTGACTGGTCACTCTGCTTAGAGCAGCATCTGGGCAGGAGGTGTGTCCCTGTGAGCACTGCAGAGAACGCCACCGACTGTCCAGCTTACCTTGATGATCTTCTTCAGGACAGCTGGACTGTGAGCTGCAAGAGACTTCCTCTTGGCTGGTGTCTCCCCTTTCTTGAGAGGGGTATTAGGAGGTAAGTTTTCATCAAATAATTCAGGTCTTAGACGACCACCAAAGGACACGCGCCTTCTCTTCAAGGACAAGTCCTCACTCTTGTCTAAGGAAGGACAGCAGATGTGAAAGGGGCAATGAATAAACCTCACAGGATGCATGATTATTTCAAACTACTATTAAAATCTAACCAATTGGAACCTGACACCTGGGTTCTTCTGTAACCTTATTGAAGCCAAAGCTACCCTGAGACTCCCTAAAATACCTCAGGAGGAGCAACTGAGACAGCAAGTGGCTACTGCACAGTACAGAGCTTTTCTCTAACACTGAAGATAGTGACCAGTCTGTACCAGTAGCTGGCACTGGGGCAGAGGGATGATGGACAAACACTAACAGTGGCCAGAGAGAACTTTCTAAGACACACATGCTTGGGCCTGACCCACACCTACAAATAGTGAGCAGAATGTGAGCCATAAAAACTTATCCGGGAGGTTCATGTGACCCAGCCCCCCGGCCCAACCTCCTGAACCACCCATCAGCACAAATCTCTGACCAAGTGAGGAGCCCCTGTAGGAGGCTTAGTGGACAGACACAGTATATTTTAGACACTCCCCACCCACAGTGGTCCAGCTGCAGGAGCGGGACCCTACAGCGTGTAGGAAGATGCCAGAGCTCCACTCCTGGTATTAAAGACACTCATTCTGGGACTTTGGGTTGTTAGTTGCCCCACTTGCAATAGGAATATAAGAACACTTCATGGACGTTCCTCCCTGTGTCAATGGCTACAAAGCCCAACACCTAGTCCAGTGTTTATAACACAGTTCTTGGAAGAGACTCTGAGAACAAAGCATTAATCCCTGAGAGCTACCACTATGTTCAGTGATTCTCACAGGGTTTCCAGGGGTTTATTCCAACCTAATGCATAGGATTCAGTAAGTTGTAGTTCAGAACTGAACCCTAGATCAAAAGCAATTATAAATATTCCCCTTCCTATTTTGTGATAGAAGGAAAGAGAACCACATGCTTTTGGGTTACCTATCTCAGGTAGCCTGTGCATACTTCCCTAACTAGTGCACCTTCCCATTGTTGCTTGCTACAATAGTCCAGGTCTTTAGACTCATCTGTACCTGAAATGGAAACATGCCTCGTCATTGCACCCTCGGGCTTAAGTAGGTTCCTCACCACAAAGCTCATATTTATTGACAGTCTCATTAGTATCTCTATATACGGTAGATATTAAACTTTGGGGGAAAGTAGATTTATCATTAAACAAACTTACTAATGGAATCACCAAAGTTGCTGATATCAACTGAACTAAGACCAGGTAACCCAGAACAAATCTGTCCAGCTGCTGTGCCCAATTTCTCAGGCTTATTGAAGGACTCCTTTTGAATCTTCTTTTCAACTTGAGTGAGATACTGAGTTAAAAAAGGCTGGCTCTGGATTTCTGCGGGCAGCACTTCCATATTTGTAGGAACACTCCTCCTGCTTCTAGAAGAAAGATTTTCCGGCTTTTTGTTGAGGTTGGCAGTGCCTTCAGCTTTGATTGGTGCTTGATTTCTAATTAAAAGCTTCCCAGGAGTACGTGTCACACCAACTGCCTTGACACGGGCACTTTCACTGAGAGTCACACGCAGGTCTTCATTCTTATGTTCCTGAGCAAAACTTGGTAGCTGTGGACACGGCACAGGGGCCTTCCCTCTGGTCATCTTAGAGAGAGGAGTGCTGGTACCCACAAGCCTCTTGGAGGCCTCCACAGGCTCCAAGTCACTTCCCTTCTCAGTCTGGCTGGTCTCTGGTTCTGGGAAAGGGTCTTCCTTCATGGGGGTGCTTCTCCCAGATTTCCGTCTTGGTTGACTTGACAGCACCAGCTGGGGCTCCCTCTGCAAACCACCAGTGCTTTCTCTCTCTGCTGTGCCACCACTGTGTGCTCCTGATTTTCTGTGGCATTGTACATTTTGTCCTGGTGGGTTTGCATCCAACTCCTCCTTCATCGACTGATAAAGCTTCTTAAAGGGGGATTCACTTCTCTTGCTGTTGTCAAAGCACTGCGCAGAGGCAACAGACCTTGGTGTTCCATGACCGCTCACTAACGTTACTCTGGGCTTTGCCTTAAAGTCCCCAGAAGAGGTATCCCCTGCATTTCTGCCATCCTGCCCCTGATGTTCTGAGGACCGAGCGCTAGGTGGTTCTGGGTCAGCACCATCCAAGGCAGAACTGTGTCCTGTGATCTCCTTGGCATACTCCACAGGCTTTCCCCAAGCATTTCTTTCCATGATCTTTGAATGGGCTTTGGAATCTTGCTCTTTCCCATCTTGACAATAAATTTTGAAATAAGAAACAGAAATTCAAGATTTTCTCAATGATTAAAACTTGTAGATTATGATTTAGTATCATAATTGTTTCAAATTGCCTTATAACCTTGCTTTTCCCTTAGTCTACAAATTATTTACTGCCTAAACTCTGTAAGTCTTAAGATATTAATATTTTGATTCAAATAAATAAAAAATCACATTAGCCTCCAATCAGGATGAAGTGACAATAATCTATTGAATGACTCAGAATTAAACTGACAACTGAAAATTCAATTTATGTGAACTTGGACTCTACCCTAAACTCAGTAACCCATCAATTACTAGGAAAACGGTGACAGCTCTGCCCAGGCTTGATGGGTCACATGGCACACCTCCTAGAGTCTCACACTTGTGCCCCCATTAGCCCTCCCCTTGCCACTGTGCAGTGGTCTGGCCCTGAGGATCCCAGAAGTGAACCCAACCAAGTACAAACCAGGGTCAGCTGAAGAGCCAGCTCTCGAGGCACGCCACGCTGGTCCCTGTGCATTGGGAAAGCAAGAACAATGATTTCAGTCCTTCCTAAATGTTGGTGGTCATCACAATGAAAATACTCTTTTTTACTAATTATCTTCTTTGCAAAGCTGCTCCTTTGACATTTGAGACTTTGAGAAGCTAGTGGTCAAGACACATCTTAGCTGGCTTTTAAATAAGAGCAAGTGATAGAATAAAAAAAACAAACCCCAGGCATAAAATGACTTAACTTAAACCTCAGAAAGATTCTAAAACTTCAAGTGATGGCCCAGTATCATATGAGAGAGGAATCAAGCTAAAATCGAGCATCGTCTACACCTATTCACCCACCCCAAGCAGAACTATTGACCACAAGCTTCAGCAGAAATGGGTCCAGGACCTGTGGGTGAACCATGGCCACAAGCATGTTCAGTGCTGTCACCTGGGAGCCCAGGTGAAGGCACAGTGGAAGCAGCTCAGCCAGGGGCACTGCAGCTGCAGCCTGTATTAGACTCCCACACACCCTGGCAGCCCAACAGGAAAGAAATAACCATGACATGTATACAAACCGCAGAAGCCTGATAACTCCAGAGGAAAAGTGTATCACCTGGAATACTAAGAAAATTCCCAAATGCTATTACCAAAGGCAAAGAGTCTAACCGCTTCACTGAGTCCCTTCAAGTTTGATATTTAACACTTTCTAAAACTATCTATGAAAGATGAGTTTTATTTTATTTCCAATCCAAAATGGACCAGAATCTTATGACTAAACAACAAAAATGAACTACTAATAAAATTTAAAATATGTATGATATATATAATCCAATTTTTGTGCAATTTTATTGATAGCCATAAAATCCCTGTCAAATTACTATAATTTTCTCAACATATGCAACTTTAATACTTATTTATTTTAATCACAGGTGACAAGTGATACAGACTGCCAAGGAGTCCAGTCCATAGTTCCATAACTACTTGGCTTACTTCTTTACACCTAATAACAAGTTGGATAACGGCTGGTGTGTGGGATAACCCCCCAAAATAGTTTGCAGCACAGGAGTGGATGAGCTCCCGACTCAATGAGCAATCCCCATTACCAGGCCGTGGCAGAGGTCTTGAGCTTAAGTGCCTATGGCTAACTGCAGAGGCACTTAAAAAAGTTTCCAAACCAACAACTCCCACCTGGCCCCACATAAAGCTGCTCTTGAGCAGCTTCCCAAAGAGCAGAAAAGACAAATTCTCAGGACACATCCTAGAGCTGCTGCGCCCCACAAAGTCTCCAAGCACTAAGTCTCCAAGCACGTGACCAGAATCGTGCTTAATAAGCTGTGCCCCTTGTGTACCCATCGTGCACTGACAGTCTCAGATAGCCAGGGCTTCTCACATGGCCTCTCCCTGGGACTGGCTTCACATCACACAACAGGAAGCATCTTGGTTCTCACGATTTTTACATGATTACTTTAGACACACAGATGGATGAGAATAATGAGAGGAAGACAAAAGCTACTATGAGGCAGTGCAGATTCCAAGGTTTATGTCCCTGTGTCAGGTCTGCTCCACCACAGGCTTCCAGGAAGAGCACAGCATACTAGAGGAGACGTTCTGGCCAAAAGCATAAGACAATGCAGTACCCTCATTCTGAATCACAAAGAAACAGTTTTAGATTATTTCACTGTGTCTAAGTTCAACTTGTTTTCATATCTTATTTTTCTACTATAGCCAGAAAGCCATCCTCGCTGATTTAAAGTAAAAAAATCATTTGTCAAAATGCCTATAAATGATTTCCTATCATCAAAGAAGAATCAGAGCCCAAATCCAAATGGTCCTTCCCATCACCTGTTCACGAGTCCTCCCAGGACTTTCAGTTGACTTGCTGCCATTCTGTCGACTTTCATCTTCATACCTACAGCACAGGGAAGGATGGCAGAGTTAGTCTGGGATTCACACTCTCTAGCTGAAGCCTCCATATTGGGTCATGTGCAAGAAAAAACTTCAGGCTCTGTTCGGAACATTACCTTATACATTGAAATGAACTTAGAGCTGGAAAAGGGTTTTCCACTAGAAACTTGAATCAATTTTCTCAGGTTTCTTTTGGAACACTGTTGTCAGAGGTGGGAACCCAGATTAACTCCTACTGACTGGCCTGGGAATGGCTAGACAATCTCTCTGAGCACCTCTGTGTGAATGAATGCCCACTGAATAGGAGCAGAACCGGCTTCCTCTCCCCCACACTCCTGGAAGCCAGTGAACAGCATGAAGCATACCTCCAGCAACCCGGAGGTAACTCGCTCTTCATGGAGTGACACACTTCAGGTGAACATAAAGCTGTGACTTCACTTCAGGGAACTGCAGGGCTGTTTCAGAACACCATGATCATCTACTCCCACTTACTCTGTGCCTAGGATCTTAGTGGGATTCCATAATTGTTGTGACTGATCTGAGATCAAATCCATGGAAGCAATCCATTATTCTACATGATAAAAACTTCAGGATTTGTGAAAGAGCCTGATTTGAATTTTGATCCTACCCGGATTAAAAGTCTTTAGGTATCTGGAATGGTTTCTCATGGTATCAGAGGGCTGAATCAAATCCTTTTCCCTACGGCCTGTTTCCCTAGCACTGCCATGAGTCACCATAAGGGTGTCTTCAACAGAACTTTGCCGCTCTCAGCCATGGAGGCTGGAAGGCCAAGACCAAGGGTTCTATAGCTATCTATGAATGCATTCTGCTTAAAATGAAAAGCAACTAAAAAAGCACAGTTTCACAACATTCACAAGAAAATAACAGCTTCCTTTAAGATGAGTTTACCTATCTTCCACCTAATTGTGTGCTCTGGAATGCTGGAATTCCATCTCATCTGGGTCCAGTGTCACTCCCAGAGACCTATGCTTCTAGATTATCAAGTCTGCAAGTGAAGCCTGAAGCCCTTCCACATCACCACCATCAGGAGGAATCACAGCCGAATAGCAGCACTGTCCACAGTTAATCAGAGCAGGCCTTTTGTTGTTAGCTGAACTAATTTCTACCTACCTGAAAGAACGGTCAATAATAGTTATTATATCTCCATGCTTTAGCGGTACAGGTTCTTGAATAGCAGACCCATTTACTTGTGCTGGATTAGTGGAACTGAAGTTACACAATATTGCCTACAAGTGTAAAAAAAAAAGGGGGAAATACATAACTAATGACAAGAAAAAAAAGCAAATTAAAGTTTCAAAAATCAACTTCCAAAAACCCACTCACTTACCTTCTGTTCCTTGATTTCAATTTTGCAGTGTTGTTTTGACACTACAGGAAGCTGGATACGAATGTCACATTCGGTACCCCTTAATATAAAAGAGTTAAGATTTTTTTTTGGTTGTTGTAACTCCTTAAAAAATCATCCCAAATTGTCAAAACAAAACAGAATTGGACTAATGTGCTTGATCTATAAATGTAATGACCAGGAATAACAAAAAAATAAAATAAAATAAAACAATGCAGTGCAAATGGTCTTCATATTTTGCAAAAAGTTTTTACAAATGTTGCATAAAAAGCTATCTGAAATCTTTAAAACTTAGAGTACTTAATTTTTTTGGTGGGGGGGTACCAGGGGAACTTCACCACTAAGCCACATCTCCAGCCCTATTTTGTATTTTATTTAGAGACAGGGTCTCACAGAGTTGCTTAGTGCCTCGCTTTTGCTGAGGCTGGCTTTGAACTCACCATCCTCCTGCCTCAGCCTTCCAAGCCACTGGGATTAGAGGCATGTGCCACCAAGCCCAATAGAGTATTTAATTAGAACTGAAAAATACTACAATACAAATTTAATTACCCTTTACAAAAATAGCTATGCTTATAAGACTTTATTGCTTTGTGTTTTTAAGTAGTTTATGTATGATTAAAGATTTAACCAACCCCAAAGTACAGTATTTCCTGCTAGCAACCGCCTGTGCTTTAGCTTCTTCATATAAAGAAAGGTTACTTTAGTGTCCGGGTCAGTGTTGTTCAAACAATGCACGTGTCACCCTGTGCCTGGCACATAGTCATGTCAAGTGTGAGCTCTTCACTGTTGTTTTAAAACTACACCTTACTAACAGATAGATTCAAAAGTCTCCTAACATCAAAAATCCTGATAGGCCAGCAACAAAAAACAATATCTAGAATCAACTGTCTGTGCACAGAAAGCTGACATGGTGGCAAAGCACAGAAGGAAACCCTAAATGCCCAGTGCTGGGGAGCCTCTGGTACTGCACTCCCTCTGGGGTTTTAGGAGTGGACAGACTTTTATTTCCTGTAGGGGCTCCACATGAACCTCCAGGCTCAGCACAGCTGCATCTATCACAGCACTTATGTACTGCTCTAAAATAATAAAAACCTGAAAAATCTATGCTGCAATACTATTTATAATAACCAAAATGAATGCCATTCAAGACTGGACTTTTTTTTTTTCTTTTGGAGATTAAGGAAATTAGGCAAAGTGACAGCTTCTTTAAAATCAAGAAGAGAATTTGAATTTTAGGTACCAGAACATTGCAGCAAAGAAGAACTTTTTCATTAGAACTGGATTTTGTTGGCAGAACCCATTAGTGCTTCTTTTTTTTTAGCTGTTGATGGACCTTTATTTTATTCATTTATTTATATGCTGTGCTGAGAATCGATTCCAGTGCCTTACACATGCTAGGCAAGCCCTCTACCACTGAGCCCCAGCCCCAACCCTAGTGTTTCTTAATGTCAACACTGCTGTTGACATTTTGGGCCAGAGAAGCCTTCAAGGTTGGGCTGTCTTGTGCATTTCCTAGTAACCCTGCCCTCTGCCACATATCTTTCCAGAAGTGACATGGAAAAATGTCCCCAGACCTTGCCCAATGGCCCCTGAAAGGTAAAATGGTGTTGTTTCTCAAGAACCACTATTATTCACTGATTTTAAATCCAAATCTCCAGCGTATCTTTCTACTAGACATGTACTCATGATATAGATTGATCACCTCTCATGTGCCTTGTCCTAGGTGCATAACTAATAAGAAGACAGCCCTTGCCCTTGGAGCCCAGACTTCCAGGAGAAACAAACCAAAAACACTAATCACCGATGTGATAATGCTAGGAAAAACATGTGTTCATTAAAGGCTGGCTTCCAAACAATTTAAACAGAGTCTTGAAAGACAGAAAGGAATCACTCAAGCACAAGAGTAGGGGGAATAATGCAGCCATCAAGTTCAAACTTTTAAAAATACCAACACAAGTAAGAGGTTGGAATGCCTCAGGAAGATGGTGAGAGATGAAGGAATCCAGAGGATGGGGTGATGCCAGAGTGCAGGACAGGGACCAGACAGTGGGAGGTGATCCTATCACACACCTAGAGGACACCTTAGAGGGTGAGGGGGTGCCATTAGTAACTGTGTGCATCGTTCCGGGACCAGGGATATTACTGCACCCAAAGAGAGAGCCAACCGCTGAGGAGTTTCAGAGCACAGCAGCAGGTGTGGGGGAGGCTTTCCTTAGGGCTTTTATTTTTCGAAACAGAGCAGCAGCCCAGTGAATGCTGAGGTCCAGAGCAGCCAGGTCGTGTCTACTGGGAAGGGACAGTGTCTTTTAAAGACAGTCGGGTTTAAGAATCATCTACACCTCTCTGCACTGCAAAATATTTATCAAACCAACTGCAAAATCTGTTTGATCAAAAATGCACATAACGCATGTCAATCACACAGCACATGTACCAAGGATATAGTCAGCCTTTCCCTAGCAGATCAGCACGGTCGAGCAGCTGCCACGTCCGGGAAGCGCAGCGACCCTGCGCGCGGGAGCCGCGAGCCCTCCACCCGCCCAGGCCGGCGCGCTCACCTTCCGAACAAGCAGCTACTGAGGCTCAGCGGGAAGTGGGCTCCGTCCGCCCCGCTCCTCTTGATGGTCACCAGGCGCCCCGCGGGCCGCATTCTACCCTATCTGTGCGCCGGGTCGCAGGACCCAGGATTCCAACTGCACCTGCGAAGCTCGCCGCGTTCCCTGCAGAAAAGGTGGGTGCTACCGGTCGCGGCTCAGAGTGGCCTACAGCGTGGCGGCGACACCCAGGGCCCAACCCCGAGGTCCGCGGCCAAGACGTCTGCGCCGGCCGCCGCGGCTGCGGCCCCAGCCACCCGAGTCCGGCCTGCTCACCTAGCGCCGTCTGCGCCGCCCGCAGTGCGCGGCAGGGGAGCGGGACGCGAGCGGTGTCCACTCGCCCCCGCGCCGCCCCACTGCCGCCCGCCGCCGCCGCCCGTCGCGCCCGGTGTCCTGGCTACTCCGCGCCAGGGCCCGCCGCGCCGCCAATTCAAACCAAAACGGCGGTTCAAATTGTGGCGCTAAAGGCCACGATTGGGCGAGGAGGCGCGGCGCGGAGCCAATGGGAAGGGCGAGGGCAGCGTGGGCGGGGCCGAGGGCGGAAAAGCCGGGCTCCTCTCCCGGACGCTGCTCAGGGCAGGTAAAACGGCTCAGCCCCGCAGCACCCCGCACCTCGAGTGCGGAAATGGGACGTGACCCCGTCACCGAGAGAACCCCCTCCTGTCTTCTTTTAATTTAAGGGCCAAACACAAGCGTCGCCATGTGTCACTCATTGCTGGAAGACTTAAATTTTTTTAAAAATTAAAAACCTGTCTCCCCGGTTTCTCCATCTCACCAAACACAATCAGTCATCTTGAGGAGTTTCCTGTGTCTTTTCCAGTTGTACGCGTTTCACTGTCTTTTAAAAACGCGGGAGCAACGTGATGCACAGCGTTCCATGGTGCGGGTTCTCTGCTAAGTGCAGAGGATACTTCTATTTGCACAATATCCTCCCTGTTTATCTTCTGTTCGGTGGCGACTGACTATTCAGTTTCCAGAACCCAAGATTTATTTTAATCATTTCTATCTCCACACATTTAGGGTTAGAGTGCTTGGCTGTTAGAAAAAGTTCAATTAAGATACCTTGTGCACGACCACGCGCATGAACCTGTCTTTGGTGATTCCTCCAGGTATGGCCACGCGCTGCCCTGACCCTGGCTTCCGGGATCCGGGGCCCAGTGCGCACACCCGTGGGACCATTCAGGGGTGTATGGAATCAAACCGGGAGCCCAGAGGCCCTCCCTGTTGTTCCCCCTTTCCACCACCTTCCTCTAAGGAGTGGGTGGAGTCTGCAGAATGCTTAAGCCCTTGGAGAATCAAAGGCCTGTCTTCCATCAGGCATGGCAGTACAGAGATTTGTGAAAATATGAAAAGATGCTGCTCTTTTTACTAGGGTTGTTTTTGGTTTGTTTGGGGTTTTGTTTGGAATGGGGTAATATAGATTTTTGTTTTCATAGAAATAAGTCATGTTCACATGAAGTGGGTTCATCATTTACTTAAAAATAAATTAATGAAACATTATTTAAATTCCTGTTTTAATTTCAAATCTAGTAATTATAGATAGATACGACCCACATCCAATTTTAGGAGTGAAAAGGGGGCACAAAACCCGAGGGTTTGAGCCCTCTGTTCAGGCAGCAGCCAGGGAGCTGGCCTGTGGGGTTTGACAACCCCCTGGTTCACATGCAGCCACATCTGTATCAGATGGGCAGACAGGTGCAGTTGAATTAAACATTAGTTTTCATCTCTCCCCCCCCCCCATTCAACAATCAAACTTAAAATACTGCTTTTTTTCTCTAATTGCTTTCAGCTCTTCCATCCTCAGAGGCAACCTAATTAGAGCTGAAAGGGTAGAATGTCACTAATCTCTGGAAAGCTGTAGAGTACACACCAGCTACTTTCCAGAGAGCAGGAAATGAAAGACCTGGGAATGGTCAGAGCTGTGGTCTCAAGATCTGTGGGAGGGTCTGTCTCTGTGACAGACTTTTGAGGTGGTGCTTTCTGTTGAATTTGAAGCTTGCCCCACAGCCCACCATTTAATTATAAAACATAGATTTCACTGCTATGAGGAGAATCTCACAGGTCCTTTTATAAGGCTGGCTTCTGGCTCTGCAGTCCCTCCAGCATTATCAGTCCCAGGACTAGAGACCCTGTAGTTAGAGACCCCAGGACCCAGGATGACTGGAAAAGCCTCCCAGGGGCCATGTGGACCTGAGAGTTTCAGGGACTAATTTCCATAGCTTCATAGTGCACAGGCACTCATGCCCAAAATATATCAGCCAGAAGGGACGTCTCCAGGGAGTTCCCTGCCCCTGTGCCCCCTCACTTCTCCCAGGGCCTTCTCACCTGCCAGAGTCTGAGAGTGGGCAGTGCCCTCAGGGGCTGGCAAAGGGACCGCTCCACATTTCCCTTAACCCTGCACCCGTCCATCTGACTCCAGGGCTGATTCCAAAAGGTGTTGACTTTATATACGATACATATTTATTAAAGTTTGAAGATAATACTCATGTTGCTTGATCAACTCTTTTAGTAAATATTACATGTAAATATGTGTACATAATATATATGAAGAGAGAGAGGAAGAGATAACTAGAATGGGAGTGAATAAAAGACTTAAGCATACAAGAACATGAATTGCTTTACAGTAAAATTAATAGAAACACTGTTTCCAAGAGCAAAGAGACAGAGAAATGCCTCTGAAGCCTCTTATCACTCTGGGTGGGTCCCCCAGGCGGCCCCTCCTTACTATTAGGGTAGCTGCTAACTCTGGCTGTATCTCTGTTGTTTTGTGAATTTCCTTCATGAACTTCACTGGAGGCTCCTTCCTGCATCGCCATTTATAGTGCAGGGGTCTGGTCAGGGGCAAGGAGTACCTTCTAAAATCCTGGATCCGAGAGCAGAAGGAGGAAGCACAGGGTGGGATCCTCCTGGCCCCACTCCTAGACAGCCTGGGCCCAAAGAAGTGTCCCCTAACAAATGTAGTCAGCTCAAGCAAGGTCTCACCCCAACACTCCAAGAACAGTGAGTGACCGTGCCCCTAGCCCACTGCAAGCCAGGGATCCTTGTCATCTCCAGTCCCTACCTGGGGCCTGAGACCCTCAAGTGGCTGCAGATAGGGACCTCTGCAGCAGCAATCAGTGGAGCACAGGGCATCCTGAACTTTGCTTCCCAGTCTCCTAGTCACTGTCAGTGGGCTCCTCCAAGCCTTTCAGTCAGTGGGGACAGAGACCTTAATGTGGGGGTGTGAGTTGGGGTCATACATCAACCTGCTGGCCGGGGAAGAGCAGGGCTGCGTTCTTCTGAGATGAGGCCAGGGGAGAGGCAGCTGTGTCACTGAGATCCCCTGTCAGTCCCAAAGATAGGGAGCCAACAATACAAAGCAGCACCTGCCAGGGCTCAATCATGACCCCAACTGTAGTAGGCCGTGACCAGAGCAAGGCCAGGGCCCCAGGTCAGAAGCGGGCTCCTCCCTGCACTTGTGTTCCGCTGGTGGGGTGACAGCGTTGTTAGGAAGCACTCGACACAGCAGCACCATTTTAAAATGCACCCTCCACCTTGGAACAGCAGTCACCCAGGGTGGGCCACTCCGACCCAGCCCTACCTAAACTCCAGACAACACTCATCTTCACACTTGAAGGGAGTTATTATCTGGGTCTGTAATCCTGAACAGCAGCTGGTTCTGCATAGAGCAGTGACCACCACAAAGAAGGAAGGTGGTGAGACAGGACCTTCCCCCACAGCCCCCTGACTGGGGCCTAACCACAGAAATCCCGCCCCCCACGCCCCTGTAACTACCCTAGGCTATAAGCAGAAGACAGGTTCCAGCCACGGCTGGACGCTTCCTGCAGGTGTGTCCCAGTACACCTGTGTTACTGTTGAGCCCTCTCCCTTCTCTCTACTTCCTTCGTTGTGTTCTTCACTTGCAAGGGTCTGCAGGATTGCCCTCCCTAATATCCCAACTCTGGCCCCATTCTGGGCCTGACCCTACCCACCTGGCTGTCTGGGAGGCGGCCTCCATCAGGGCAACTTGCCCCAGCACAGGAGGGACACGCCTTTTCCTCCCCTCAAATTCTGTTAGCACTTCCCTGTTCCTCACGACACAACTCTGAAGATGATGTGACCTAACCCACTGCTGACCTCTGGGAGCCCTGCAGGATGATCTCCATAGACAGTGTGAGCTTGGCAGAGTCCCACCAGGGCATGTGACTCCTGGGCTCACATCCTTCAGGGCTTCTAATTGCTGTTTGAACAGAGTCCAAACTCCTGCCAGACCCTCTGAGGGACATGTGCCTCCTGCCTCCTGCCTCCTGGATCCTCTTGATCTCTCAGTCCACTCTGTGAGCTCAGACCCCCAGGGCTTCCTCCTTCCTGGAAGATGCCAAGCTCCCTACAGCTCCCTGTAGGCTCAGGCTGACTCTGGTCTTCCTGCCTCCTGGGGAGAAGAGGGGCTGAGCCCTGCAGGCTGGGTGGGCCACTCCTGGAACAGGTAGAGACTCCAGGAGAAGAGTCACCTGGCTGTGCCCTCACCAGTGCAGACTGCTGCAGCCAGGGGGCTTCTGTGTGAGTCCGAGTGCCCACATGGGACCAAACTGCCTGGAGAAAGGGGGCTCTGGCCCTAACTAACTCTCTGAGTTTAGAAAAGGAAACAAACAAAGCATGACACTGAAAATATAAATGAGGTTTTGAGACTTTTAAAACCTTTTTTTTTAAAGCTGATACTATATGTTTTCATTATAGAATATTTGGAAAATCCACAATGGGGAAGCTAAAAAGGTCACCCAAAGATGCCAGAAAATGGAATTGTGTTTTTTAATGTTTATTTCCAGAAGAAAGCATCACACAGTGTGTACACGTACTCCGTCTCTATCCTCAGGTTTTCATTAATTTATACAGCAACATTTTCTCATTCATTCTTGGTGACTGTCATCTTGGAACCCTCCCCTACGCCCCTGTGTTGGAACGTTCAGGTTTTTCATTTGGTACATTATTATAACAAGTCATGCTATGAAGAACATATGGAGAAAAGCCTTGTTTTAATATTACAAATTATGTTAAGTGTAGACCTCCCAACATCCAGCTTCTGCATCAAGTAGCATTTGTTTCATATCAAATGACTACCTTTCTGAAGAATTGTGACATTCCACCAACTATTTTATCACCAGTGCTTTGGGTCCTTGTGTTAAATTTCTTTTCTAATTTGATAAGGCAAAGATAGATCATCACTTCAATTCATATTTTAAAATGAACAGTGAGGTTGAACACTTTTCCCAATCTTTTGCCTAATAGCAATTAATGTCTTAGAATTTTCCTTATCAATTTATTTAACAAGTACATCAATCTTTTTTCTGCAGACTGAGTAGAGTTTTTTAAAAAGTCATCCAGCCAAGAAATATTGAAAAC